GTATTTCTCTTGGCTGCACCGCTTCCAGTACGTGTATGTGGATGTTAGATTTTTTTGTCCAATCAGATTTCAGCCTCTATGTGTTGCCATGTCAATCTAATCTGCCCAGGGCCTTCAGAATCAGAAGTGCTGGCCCATGTAACTTAAACTACATTAGCAATGGGACTGTTTCTTTAACTAATCAGATTTCAAATTCGCCTGACAGGGCCAGCTAGCTGGCCCACAATGATGTCAGCAGTTTTCCGTCCTCTGATTGGTTGGTCAGAGCAAAACTAGAAAAGGGCTTACGATGGAATTGAAACGCAGAGATCACAGTTGCAGTTTTAGTGTAGAGGTTTGGAGGTGTCTTAATTGGGTTTCTTGCTTTAGTAAAAACGGTATTCACCCTCAATACACGAAATACCTCTCTCTCTGTAATGCCACACTTTATTATATTGCGTTTTTGTATAGCATTGATGGTTTCTATAATTGCGACGTACAGTGGTGGTATTAAGAGGTGAATTAAGTCGGGTAAGTCTCCACTGAAGGCCCAGGTACCAAATGCATGGCCCGCCACTGTTCATTTGTATGATTGTGTTGTGGAGTGCTGGACTCAGTGAGGGGAACCACTGTGCAGCAGCAATGTACACGACCGGGAGTAAATAAGGAGCGCACCCAAAGTTAGAACACCGTCGCTGCGTCCGAAACCGCATACTGTGACAGTACGTACTGAAAGAGATGAAGTACCTACTTACTGACCGTTAAAACAGTAGGTACTGTATAGTATGAAGCCTGGTAGTATGAATGAGATTCGGACGTACTACATCCGCCATGTTGATACATCACGTGACATACGTTTTCATAGCAGCGTCTTCTTCGTTGGATAACTCCTCTCCCGGGGCATCATGGGATAGTGAAGTGTCCATCGTATGCACGCTGCAAAATCCAACCGGAAGCAGTAGGTCATCCGGGTACTTTTCGCCTACTGTTTTTGGAATACTACGAATCCGGACATACTACTCGCCTCGCCTACTGCTTTTCGCCTACTATACAGTATGGTAGTAGGCGATTTCGGACGCAGCCTGTGCATCTCATGTTTCCACAAAATAGACATATTGAGTCTTAAGCATTTGTTGTTTATTGTTTCACAGAACACACTGTCCAAAATGTTCTAGACCCGCCCCTGCTTACTTATCTACTAATGTCATATTACAGTTTAGCATGTCACACATAACAGGAAGCTGTTTTTAAAGCAGCATGTCGTTGCAGAATGTGGACATCACCAGAAATCCAGAGGACGCGCTGCAAACTGTCCCTGAACACATATAAACGCAGCTTCAATCATTTGCAACCGGATGTGCTTCATGTGAGCTGCACTACATATTAAGACATTTGAAGGTGTGACAGCAGAAGAGGACGAGATGAAATGACAGCAGACAGATACATGAAGCACCAGAAGCAGGTGGAGATGAGGATATTAGCTGGTTCTGGGGGTTGTTCCTTCAACATGTCTGTGAAATATTCCCGTCTTGTCTGATATGAGGCTGAAAGAAAAAAGATGTATTTTGACTGTTATTGATAATTTTATTGTAGTGGTAAAAATCAGCACCAAATAAAACATTGTGTTGTAAATTTGTCCACTTGCTTGTAACAGCTGTGATGTATGCTGACAAGACTGGAAGTTTGAATTAAACGATGTAGAGAAAAAGGCGCTTCCGACATGTTGTTGCTCAGAAAATAAATTCCCAGTATAAATCACAGGCATTGTGTTATGTTGTTAACTCGGCCACAAAAAGCAACAAAAGGTGACAAAATAATTCGCCAACAGACCTGTGGACCCAAGACGAATGAATGAAACCTGCATTTTGGAGGAATTCGGAGAAAGATTTAGTACCGACTACTGCAGGGAGGAGTTTTAGAAACGCGGTATTTTCCTCAAACAGTCGTTCAGAGATTAATAATCCCTCATTCCCCGGGGGTTAATAATCCCTCATTCCCCAGGGATCTCGGTGGCAGCAGTGCACAACCTTCCATGCGAACACATTTTGTCTCAGCGTGGTTCAGGGATCCTTCTGCCTGACCACCTGTCGGATATTGACCCCTTCACATCACCTATCCAGTTATTATTACTGCAGTGGGGCCGTTTCAACTACACTGAGGTGTGGGAGGGGAAAGGCTGACCCCTGGAAAGAAGACCCAGTGTAAAATGTGCGCGCACAGCGTCCTGCTGTCTGAGCTGCTCCAGTCCCGCTGATAGTGTCACGCCGTCCAACTTCTCCTGGAGTCTTAAACCCAAATATTGTGGACATGGTGAAGCTAAAGATTCAGTGCATTCTAGTTTTATTCACCTTCTATGTCCGAGGGGGGCTGTCGGGGGATGCTGAAGCACGCCATGGAGCAAATATTGTTTTACAGGTGAGCATGCAGGCTGTTTCTTCTTATTTGTGACACAGGTCAGTGAAAGCTACAAGCAAGAGGACAGTTTGACTAAAACAAAACGTTATTTTCTGTTTCAGTAATCAAACAATAGTTTTACCTAATGTCTGTTACAAGCATTTGGCAGATGGTCTGTAAAATGTTAAGTGAACATAAGTCCATGCTTCTTACAGTGAGCTCACACAGGCAGAATAGATCATACAGGACTCTTTATAACTGATATCAGCTTTATGTTTTCTTGTGAAGGGTGTATTTGTCTGTGGTAAATTCCCGGCAGTGACCAGGATATGTGGTAATGTATTGACACAGACCCGTACAAAATTAACCAAACCGTGCACTCTCACTGGTCCCGTGTACAGTGAAAGCGTTTATTTCCAGTTCCACTTCCCCTCCATTCATGAATGGCTTTAATTCAGACTATTTTGACACATAATCTTGACCCAGCCTTTACATAGGCATTCTGAACAAACTATGGTGCCAAGAAATGTGACTTTGCACTAAAATGCGCAACAGGTCCTGTATTAAAAAGACAGATTTTACAAAACTAGACATACTGTACCTACACTTGACTGACTCGCTGCACTGATTCTTTTCCAGAGAATAAAACGTCAAAGCAAACCAACAAGACCAGTGGTAAGTCTGTGCCGTTTGCATGCATCAGTGCTGTAGATAAAATGCTTAGGAACTGAGAAGCAGTTCCCTGAGAACGTAGAGTAATTCAGCCAGTATAGCACAAACTGCAGCTTTCCCAACTACCAGTGAGCTAGAGGGCTGATGTGGCTCTCCTCCTCCCGTCTGTCGCCTCGTCCTGCAGTAATGTGGCCAGCACTAACCAGCTTGGTCTCAGCAGGCGCCAGTGTTACTCGAGTAAACATGAGGAGGGCAGAGAAGCCATGCAGGGAACTGCTTTATATGTTTCACTGATGCCTCTGAGGCCTGCAGGGCAAACCACGATGTAGGTAAACAATCAAAGCAGTGATGCATAAGGTTTATGATTTGTTTGTCCAACGTCTCGAGATAGGACATCTGTGACTGTTATAGTCAGACCTGAGTTGTGAGTGTCATGTCAGAGTATAAATGTGGCATGACAGTCAGTGTTGTAGTACTCGAGTCCAGATTTTCAGGACTTGTGACTCCACTCGGACTTGAGCACTAACTGCATTTGGACCCACCACGCCAGCCCGTCTCGCAGTGATACATATTGTCTCTCACAGGTGTTGGCTCCTGTTTGATAGAGAGCTTCCTATGAATCCACAACTTCACTGTTTCCTCTTTGAATCCTTGAGCTGACTTACACGTGCACTTGTTATGATGCTAGCTGAAGGTGACAGACTACCATGTGAAGTGCTCAGTGGTGTCCCGCTATGCCGTTACCACAGTCCAGAGTTCAGTATGGAACCAGCTCCCCGTCGTGAAGGAGGCTGCCTTTGAGGTGGACCTGCCCTCCTCTGCTTTCATCTCCAACTTTACCATGTAAGTCAGTCCGACATGAACTTTCACTGGCTGTTAGCTTCAGTATTTCTACATCACTGCTTCCTGCAATTGTTTATATAGCGCCTGTTTTTCCCTTTTTTTTCTACTTGTAACATCACTATGAAACCCAGTCACCAATAGTTGTCTCACTCAATGTGTTTTGAATGAAAAGCCTGTGCAGTGGCTTTTTGAAATGACAGTTCAAGTAATGAGTATATACGTTAGCGGGGAAATATTATTTCTTGCCTGTAGAAATAAGAATAATTAATTATTAATAAGAATAATGTTCTTATTAATGGGCAGAATCCAGAAATAAAACTTCCAAGGAATTATGTAAGGAACTAGAGTTCCGGTCCAGGGGAGATGCATCATTTGATTACTAAGAGGACTGAAAGCCACTCTCCTTTAAAAATGCTAAATATAAATAAAACAAACAAGTCAACATTGCAGGCCTGGAGCTGGGTTTGGGAGCGGAAGCAGGTCAGGAGGAGGGGGAACCTGAAATCAGGTGAATACCAGGCTTTGTAAATACAAGGCGAAGAATTAATAGAGAAAATGTCAGGAGTTTGCCGAGCCTCCCCTTCCTCCCCCCAACGGTTTACTAAGGCACCGTGCCAGTGTTGATATGCAGCAGAAACACACGCCAACATGGAGGGGGGTGCAGAGTAGATTTTTTTTAAGTATGTGTGAATCTGCAGCTTCTTCCAGTCATCACAGTGTCTTTCTGTGCCGCCCTCTTTCACACCTCTCTTTCAAAGACAAGCACACTTACACATACATATTTTCCCATGCACACTCGGAGCCTATATGGTCGCACTGTATGCACATCACTACACTGGAAAAAAGCTGCGGCAAACATATTGCGTTAGTTCTTTGGCATTTCTGCGTCTGAAACTAAGAAGTCAGTGTTCTGTGTCGGTCACTGATGCACAGCCGTTCCTTTAGCTCCTCAGCCACACAGGAAAATACAAGCACCTCCATTTTCCACTCTGGCCTCTCATGCTGTGTCTCAAACAAGACCTGCTTCAAGCCTGTGGGTTTATTTTGGTTAGCCCATGATGTTTTCTTTCTTTGGCTATATTAGTTCAAAGGACCTGACCTTAATTTAACACCTCGTTACGTGACAGTCTAGGGAGGTGCACTGGGTGAATTGGATCCCAGCATTTAGTTCAGTTAGGATTTTACTGGGTGTAGAGTGGCACTCCCTCAGGGCGTCACTGGCCTGTGAGATCCCTCTCTATTAATGCTGTTTTTAAAGGGAAATTACTCTTTTCCACTTTACCCTGCTTATGACCCCTCACAAGTGTAGTGCATGTGTGTGAAGCAGCTTTGTGATAGCCATGGAAATACAGGCAGCAAAATAAAGTAAATCACGCCTAATAACTTGATGCAGGCCAGATGTTTTTCTGACTGAAATATAATCTGGCTACAGTGAGTCACACAGAGAGCTGTTTCTTCTTCCTGTTTCCTCTGTCCCATCAGCACCTCCAATGGCAAGGTGTACGTGGCCCAAGTGAGAGAAAGAGCTGCTGCCAGGAAAATTTACGACGCTGCAAAGAAGCAGGGAAAAACAGCCGGACTTGTTGCTACCAAGTCAGTCAAAGGCAAAATGCAAGTTTTTAGCTGCCGCAGAATAAGAAATATGAATGTAAATTACGTAAGAGTCATGATACGTTTCATTTGAAAAGTTCTCTACCTGTGTTCTGTGGTGCTGCAGAGAGAGGGAGATAGAAAAGTTTCGTGTGGCGGTGAGTGTGCCGTCAGGTGCTCGGATGTCCTTCTCTCTGTCTTACGAAGAGCTGCTGCCTCGTCGACTTGGTCACTATGAGCTCAGTTTGGCTCTGAGGCCCAGACAGCCTGTTCAGAACCTGACATTAGATGTCACTATATCAGAGCGGACAGGCATCAGTTTCATCAAAGTCCTTCCTCTCAAGACAAGCCGACTGCTCTCCAACACCACTCAGGGTAAGATCTGACAATTATTAACAACCAACATATAGTGGAAGCAAATAATATGAATGAGCAACTTTGAAAAAAAAAATTCACCCTTGAATATGCTGTTGTAAAGTACAAGTATACTGCCCGATATCCAACACTGCATGAGCATTAGGCATAAAAGCGTCCAGGTTGCTTCATGGTTGAACAAATGCCTTGACAGGGCTTAAGGAAGTAGATGAAGGTTTAAGGAGATATGCTTATTTGCATTCTTTGCGAGTTTTAGATTAGAAGATTGATGCCATCTGAGACGGCTGTGGCTCAGGGGATACAGTGGATCATCTCATAACTGGAGAGTTGGTGGTTTGATTCCCTGCTTCTCCAGTCCAGGTGAAGTGTCCTCAGGCAGAACGCTGAACCCCAAGTTGCTGTCCCATCAGTATGTGAATGGGCAAATAATGATAATCACTTTTACTGGCCCAGTATGTTACACACACAAGGAATTTGTCTCCGGTACAGAACCAAGGCAGCCATCTGCAGGTCTAACACGCACACACCCACCCACCCATGTCAGCTGTGTCCTTGCACGGTGCTGCTCTGGCCATCAGGAGAACCTTGGGATTCAGTGCATTGGATAAGGATAATCACCTTTACTGGCCAAGTATGTTACACACAAGCAATTTGTTTCCGGTACAGAACTGATGGTGGCCATTTGCGGCGCCAACTCAATGATGGCTCTAACCATCAGGGGCAAGGGGGGTTCAGTGTCTTGCCCAAGGACACTTCGACATGCGGACTGGAGGCACCGAGATTTGAACCTTCAACCTGGGAGACAACTGCTCTACCCACCGCACCACTTCAACATGTGGATGGGGGGAACGGGAATCGAACTGTTGACCTTCTGGTTCCGCCCTAGCTCCTGAGCCACAGCCACCCTGTAATGATAGTGTAAAGCACTTTGGGTTAGCAGTGTGCATAGAAAAGCACTCTATAAGTGTAGTCCATTTACCAGTACAGTAAATATGAAGCTTCAGCCATGAGCCAGTAAGGTTATGTAACAAAGTCAGGAAGTCACTGCTCCTGGCCAAGAAATGGTCTCCAAAGGCATAACGCTCTGTAAAACCACAACCTGTGGCTTTTACACTTTGACTCTCTTTAAAAAGAGATTTAATGTTTTGTTGGCAAGCTTTAGAGGTACGAGGCTAATTTCATTATCTCTGGACAGCGCCAGGCTAGCTGGTTAGCTTTATGCCAAGCTAAATGGCCTTGTACTTGTACAGCGCTTTTCTATGCATTGCAACACACTCAAAGTGCTTTCACACTATTTGGCCATTCGACACCAAGAAAGCAAACAAAGGTATTTCAGAAACTGTTAACAGAATGTTTAGATCATTACTTTAATAATGTTCAACTGCTGCTACAGGGCTTTGACTTGGATGTTGGCATCTTGCACTGCAGGTGACGGAGACGCCCCTGCTTCCACTCATGTCGAGCGGAGTGCTGGCTGTGCTCGAGTTTGTTATAGTCCCACTCTGCAGCAGCAGATCAGCATCTCTTCCAAGGGGCTTGATGCAGACTTCATCATTCAGTATGATGTGGACCTCAGAGATCTCATGGGTGATGTCCAGGTCAGCAGCATTTTTACAGTAATGTGTTCTTGGTAGCAACAAAGGATCTCTTGTACTACCCCTTATTTGTATTCTTGCCCCCTCTCAGGTGTATGATGGCTACTTTGTGCATTACTTTGCACCCAGAGGGCTTCCTGTGGTTCCTAAGGATGTTGTATTTGTCATTGATGTCAGTGGCTCAATGATAGGCACCAAGATAAAACAGGTACAGTGGACCTGCACCCTTAACAAACCTCACCAATCCCATAGGGCTAGAGTTACACTATTCGCTCTAAGATGAGGAGACTTTAAAATATTCTGCTAACAGTAATGACAATTTTTTGTCAATAAGTCTAATAATTTCTGTCAGTAGACCAAGCAAGTCATGAGTACCATCCTTGGGGACCTTAGAGAGGGTGACCACTTCAACATCATCACCTTCTCAGACAAGGTTCACACTTGGAAGAAAGGACGAACTGTGCGGGCAACTAGGCAGAATGTACGAGATGCCAAAGACTTTGTGAAGAGGATTATTGCGGAAGGATGTGAGTCTAAATGTGATAGTGCCTGAGCTGTCACACTAGTCAGAGTTGATCATTAACTTCACTATTGTTTTGTTGTCTTCAGCAGTGTTTGTTTCTTCCACTCTTGTATCAGGGACCAATATCAATGCAGCTTTGCTCTCAGCTGCCCAGCTCATCAACCCTCCATCATCTGGCTCTTCCAACCACCTCTCATCTCGTCGTGTCCCTCTAATAATTTTCCTTACTGATGGCGAGGCAACCACTGGCGTAACAGCTGGTGATGCCATCCTTAGCAATGCCAAGAAGGCTTTAGGCACAGCCTCTCTGTTTGGTCTTGCCTTTGGAGACGATGCAGACCTCCTCCTTCTGAAACGCCTGGCTCTGGAGAACAGAGGTGTAGCTAGGATGGTGTATGAGGATGTGGATGCAGCCTTGCAGCTGAAGGGCTTCTATGATGAAGTAGCCAGCCCTTTGCTGTCAGATATCCAGCTGTCCTACCTGGATGATCAGGCATTTGACATCACCCGTTCACTGTTCCCAAACTACTTCCAAGGTTCTGAGTTGGTGGTGGCTGGGAGGGTTAAACCAGGGGTTAAGGATTTAAAGGTGTCAATGTCTGCCACCGATTCAAAGCAACGTGTCAAGCTGGAGAGTGATATCTCAATTTCCCACGCAAAGGGGAGTGGGAGAACAGATTCTGTAGACTGTTTGGGAGGTTTAGAAGCAGTTTCCACCTTTGTGCATCGTCTGTGGGCATATTTCACCATCAGAGAGTTGTTAATGGCCAAGCTGAATGCTACTGACCCTGCAACTCAGAAGTTACTGGCAGATAAGGCCACCAACCTCTCCCTCCAATATAACTTTGTAACACCAGTCACATCTTTAGTTGTTGTTAAGCCAGATGCAGATGAAGTGGCTCAAAGTCAAACCACTGCAAAAACCACCATAGCACCCACTGTAACCACAACAGCAACAACTGCTGCTGGTGGTTCAAAGAAGCCGAGCTCACCTACAAACCATAGGCCTAAAAAAACGATACCCAACCCTCCTCAGCCGCCTCTAAATTCAGCACAAACTAAAAAAAAAACATCGCCGACTTCCACAGCGAAAACACTGGGTTCACTACCTAAGAAAACAACTGCAACCTCAAGTCCCGCCCCTGTCAAGCCTGCCCATGCGCCATTATCTGGTAAAAAGCCCACTCCTTCACAAAATCATTCAAAAACTGACCCTCCTCCACCTGCTCGAAAGATATTCACACCTCTGCTAAAAGCTCTAAAAACAGCACCACCCCCTGCACCTGGAAAAGTCTCCACCCCTCAGATCAACACCATGAAAACAACATTCACCACCACCACTACCGCCACATCGCCACTCAGTTCTGTCAGGCCCGACCCTGCACCAGCGCCTGGGGCACCCCTGACCCCTCCGCTCAGCACAGCTCTCCCTCCTGTAAAAGTGACAGTGCCCTCCACGGAGAGCAGCACCTCATCTGCTCCAGATGCTTCTCGACCTGAAATCATCACCACTCTGCCTGAGCTGTCATTTCCCCTCACCTCTCCTGCCCCCACTATGGAAGACAACCACAAAAATGCGAGCACTGACACAGACCTGAGCATTGCTGCCTTGGTGTCAGCCACCTTCGCTCCCATGCCTGGTCTAACAGGTGCTCCACCACTGTGGGAGGCAGCTGAGCTCCTGGGTGGGTTGTACACTATTTTGCCCGTGATTCGCAAAGACTGATTTACAATTAAAGCCTGTTTGTGCCCTGAGAAGTGACAAGAAGTGGCAAATATAAACATTAAGGGTGCAGATTTTGTATATTTATCCCTAATTGAATGCTCTTTCTTTCCCCACTAGATGTCTCTACTTCCATTCAGATTCAGAGAAAAGGTAAAACTGAGCTTCCTCATTCTTGATTCTGATTCTTTATGTGAAGAAATCAGTTTTTCTGCTTAATTTATCTGGTATAAATTCATTTAACTGCAGTGCCAGAGGAAGCACTCAAATGCATTACTTTAGTAAATGTGCCAGTACCACAGTGTAAATATACACCATCACTAATCCTACAATTAAAATCATACAGAAATAACATCAGCAAAATCTGCGTATTAGACTGTAAACACTGAAGCACTGATGTGTAAGTTGCATGTTACTGTATGTAGTTTTAGCTGTTTTATGTGCAGCCAGGTTAGTCCAGCTACGTGGCAGAGCCGACTGTAAATCAGTCATTTTATTCTCTCCCTTCTGTTAAATAGATATTGACCTTGTAAAAGGTGAGTACCACCATCAATGCTTCATTTCTTTTTGTTGCTTAGAAAATCAAAATTCCCTGTTGAGAAGAATATTTCTCATTGCTTGCTTTCATTTCCCAGACTATGAAGCTACCTATGACTATGACCTCAACTATGATGCCTGTAAGTTTTTTAAATGTTAATCAGAGGCGACTCTTTACTGTAGCTGTTTTTGAGACCCAAAAAACTTTCTTGTACATGTCTGACTTATTTTTAGGGGATGATACTGCAGATACAGGGTCATTTGGTAAGTTGTCAGTGGGTCTTATTTACAACTACATGTCTTAAATAATGCCATTTATTGTAGAAACAGAGCTTGCATTACATCCTAGAGCTGTCATCGGTTTCAGTGCTTGGAAGTGAGGAGGACTGTCCTTTAGCTCAATGTCTTGTGCTTTTAGAATCTCTGTCTAAACCGGGCACCGTCAGGATCTTCTCCTCATCAGGTTAAGAACCTACATTGTATTTGTGTCTCCTTGAATACATATAAGTTGCATATTTTATGTAGTCATGTTGAATTAATGCTCAGTGTTATCTGTTGTAGTTGATGGAGATCCTCACTTTGTGGTCCGGCTGCCAAAGCTGCATCAGAGCCTGTGTTTCACAGTAGATGGCAGGGCGAATGACGTTCTCAGACTGCTGGAGGACCCAGAGAGAGGTTTGCATAACTGTAAAATACATTACCTTTTGGGCACAGTATAAAGTGTCCACTGTACATGGGTTTCTTTCCTCTTTAAGGGATCACGGTGGATGGCCACCTGACAGGGGCCCCCTCCAAGCATGGCACAGAAGCCCGTTCCCGAACCTACTTTGACCAGCTCACCTTCTCCTTAGCCACAGGTGGCTCTGGTAACATCATAATCACATTGTCACTGAATGCTGTAGTGGTGCAAGGAGAAGGGCAGGAGATCCTTCCCATCGATCAGCAGGGATCCGTGACAAGGCAGGGTGTAACGGTTGCTGTAGACAACCACCGGAGCTGTTGGATCGAGCTGGCCAAGGATGTGCGCTTCCTGGTCCTGTTCCACCACTACAAACACCCCAGCTACCTACAGATGGCACACCTGGGTTTTTACATCACAGACGGACGGGGCCTCTCTGGCTCAACCCGAGGCCTGCTGGGTATGTACACATCAGCTTTTTTACTGTCAGCTCCTACTTAAACTGCCACTCAGAGCCTTCACTTCAGTAAATGTGTCAGTACAACAGTGTACAAATTCAAATTTATCAGCAAAATGCACTTTATGTATCAAAAGTCAAATCTGGCAGAAAAGTGTCCCATGTGACTGATATATTATTATATATGGATGTTTGCTGGTGGCATGGTGGGGCAGTGATTAGCTCTGTCACCTCACAGCAAGAAGGGTCCGGGTTCAAGCCCGGGCCGACCTGGGGCCTCTTTGTGCGGCGTCTGCATGTTCTCCGGGTTCTGTCCAGGTGCTCCAGCTTCCTCCCACAGTCCAAAGACATGCAGCTTAGGTTGACTGGCAACTGAAAATTGGCCGTAGGAGTGAGTGTGGTTGTTTGTCAACATGTCAGCCTTGTGACAGACTGGCGACCTGTCCAGGGTGGACCCCGCCTCTCGCACATTGTCAGCTGGGATTGGACACTTTAACTCAACGACAATTCAGAAATTTCATTACAGACATTTGATAATCTCATGAAATATGAATATTTTCACTAAACATAATGTTGAATAAGTGAATAACTATCACCTGACAAAAAAGGCAGTGTCCTTGAGTTGGTGGCAGCTCCACCACCTCTAAACTCAGATAGCTTCTCTGTTTGAGGCCCTTTCTTTTTCCTACCCTGTTCATCAACTGTATATAAAGTAGATTAAACTAGCTCCACCTCAACCAGCTATAAAATGTAAAAACTCTGTTGTTGTATATATGGAAATGTAGTTGTAAAATGATACTCATCAGTATAACAAATCTGATAAGGCAATATAATCATACACAGCTTTTAATGAGCGCTTTAGTTCTTGGTACTCTTGGTACATATGATACATATACTCCTGTACTTGTGCATTGTGGTATTTATACTTTTAACAATCTGAGCACTACAAGTCAAACAGCCTGAGAACTGCTGCTTTTGAGTTTTTAAAGTTTATTATGTTTTAAGTAAACTCTTAATCTGAAAAGTAACTAATAACTATCAAATATTCCCATGAAAGTAGGCCACAAAAAGCATAACATTGAAACACAGTACCTGAGTTGATGCACCTGGGTGTTTTCCACCTCTGCTGTCCTTTATGCCCCCAGGCCAGTTTCAGCGTGCTGACATGAGTGTAACAGTGGTGAAGCATCATGTGGATGAAGGTGCTCAGGCAGCTACTAAGGAGGCAGTTTTAACCAGGGGAATTCTGAGGTGGGGGTCAGAGCACCTGCCAGTCACCTTGCAAGATAAGACGCTGAAGGACACGTTGCGGAAACGCCACTTCGGCAAGTGTTGGGTGGTGCCCAAGGCAGAGGTGGGGAGACTACTGGGACACGCATATGACAGCTACGTCGTGGCTCATGTGTAATCCTAGCTGAGCCGGCTCCACCTTGGTGTCTCTCTGCTGCACAGCTCAGGTCACAGCAGTGACGGCAGGCTTACTGGACAAAAGATGAACCAAAACTGGAAATTCACAAGGCTGAAATGACATTACTACAGTCTCTGCATGAGACCGTCTAATATTCCACGCAAAACACAGGTGTGGTTACAGGAGGGTGTGACAGATTAGACTACAGTGGATCAGAAAACTTGCAATTTAGCAAATAATGAGGATGGTCCAGGACAGAATGATGTCTTTGTGCCTTCTCCATTACTGTATGTGAACTGGATTCAAGCTCTGTTTTCTGTATTTCTGACAGAGATGCAGTGTTCTCCTGTTCGCATGGCAACCACAAAATGTCTGTTCGTACTGCAGCAGTTTGTGCTTGTTTCAGAATGTTTCACACACTGTTAAAGATATTCATCAATTATGATCACAGGATTATTTGGCAAACCATAATCTTCCATTTCATTATACGTTAAATTAAAACTGTATCATTCTGTAAGTTGTATTTTCTAGTACAAATGTATATAAAGTACTATTGTATGTGTGTATAGATGACAAAAGGTTACTCACCTGGATGTAGTGATTTTATCTTCAAAAAGAAACAAACCAAAATCAGGCTCTTTCCTGGTTTGCCATGTGCTTTTTATTTTTCTATCATGTCATTCATAGTTTAATTCGTTTTGTTACACGAGACATTAGGCATTGTTCACATACTGGTGATCAAACAAGGACATTAAGTTTCTACTACTCAGCCTGAACAGTTTCGTTGATCAGTTTCAAGGGATATTGTCAATATTAGTTTTTCAAAGGCCAAACTAGATGGAAATAAAATAGCACAACCACACACACACACACACACACACAGAGGAGGATTTTGTTTTTAATAAATAAAAAAAGAGATGCTGAGAGACGGGCAGAGGAGGGACAGCTTTAAATATATCTATGTTCACAGAGTCAAGGGTATTCCAGTTTTTGTCTGACAACATGTTTCCAGTGTCAAACTGTTGTGAACACGCAACTGTACAGATTTTGATTTCAGCTCCGGGACAGACTTGCTGGTCTCGTTCCATCAAAACCTGTTTGTTAGGAATGCAAATAATCACATCAAATTATGATGCAACACCGGAATGATCAGTAATTAAGGTAAAGATAAGACATGACACAGCAAATAAACAAAAACAGATCATTTGATTTTGCTGTGCATCACTGTTTAAAATTCATTTTATCATCAGAACATAAACTAGTAGCATAGCATATTCAGCATTTGACGTAAACCTTTCCACAGTACGTCACTGAAATCTAGAGTATTAACAGTAAAATACATCAACGCCCCAAACGCGCAGTAACTTTGTGGAGAGTTGTTTGGTTGTGGTGGATCAAGGGAAATGAACTTCTTCAGGGGTTGAAAGGAAACATCACATCTGTTTGTTTTTAATGTGTACCGAGTCGAGCTACAGATCCATTTGGCTCTGAGGGAGCGTGTGCTGCAGGTGAGGAAATGCTTCCACTCAGGTGTAAAATCACAGCTCTCCTTTGATAGAAAATATCCTTTATGTACTATTCAGACATGCACTACTGAAGTGAGCACTGCCAGCGCCTTTTGCCAATAACAGCAACACCATTTTGGCACAGGACTGACCTGCCTCTAACTGTTAGTTAAAACAAAGCAGACTATTTTTGGAACATGTGAATCAGACCCCTGATTAAGGCTGCAGCCAAATAAAAAACATCTTGGTTTATTCTTGCGGGCACTTGTAACTGTGGCTTCAAATGTTTGCTATGCTACAGAGAATCCAGCTTTTCCTTCACTTTAACAGCTGCAGTTTTTCATTTAGTCCCCAGGGGAATTACTCATCTCCATGACATGCACGAGATGCACTCTGGTGATTTCACTATGAGCTGAAATTTCAGTCTTGGCCCTCTTTTCACTCAAAAGTGACGCTTTGCAAACCTCAGACCCGAAACCTTCCCCGACTTACATTCTTTTTACCATGGCGCACTGCTTCATATCTCAGTTTGCCATAATTAGTTTGCTTCCACCGGCACCAGACTCTCCCTACCTCTTTAGCTCCTGACATTTCCTTCTTTAATGTTCAACTTGAAGACCACAGTTTCAACCTCAGCTCTGTAAACTTCATAACTTCAGCCAGTGAAATGTGCACCAACTATATAGAAATAAAACTCTTAAATAATTTAAAATGTTAGAAAGTAAATTATTCAAATTCAAAACTGACATCACACAACAGAGATAAACAAAGAATGAATTTTTTTTTTGGAGGGGGTGACAGTTAATAGCAACTGGTTAGCTTGCGTGCTAGCACAGGGAACACAACAGCGTTGCAAAGTGAGCACTATCAGTTGACAAAACAGCCCATTTACATGGAACTCTTCATCACTTTTTTACCCTGACCAACTGATTTTGCCAGAAGGAGCGATGCCTATTGAATAACACAGGTAAAAGACCAAGAGAAAGGTGAAAGCAGGGTTGACAGGAGCGATGCATGGAATGGTCCAGCCGTCATAGCGCAGAGTCGTTTGAATCTATGTACAATACTACTGTGTGCAAATACATGCATGTCAACTGGAGGTGACCCTTCCAGAGGATTCTACACGAAGCCATTACAAATCTCATGTCAGAGCTCACAATTCAAACCTGACAGTGCCCTTCACCGTGCACCCAGCCCGACCTTCGATATGAGGAGAAAGACGTTACAGAAAGAATGAAATGCTATGAAAATCTCCAACAAGTAATAAACGTACCTCTAATAATTAAGACATGATTATAGTCTAAATTCTACAATGGAATGAAAGGCCGTATCAACCCTGCTTTTCAGTGACAGATAGGGAGTGTGAGTATTTGAACAGCGTGTATGTGTGTGAGAAATTGTGTTTGAATGTGTGTCGAGAGAGAGGGGCGTTAGGAGGAAGAGATGAACGGCTAGGGGCCGGCAGAGCCCTCTCCTCCACACTCACGCCTCATCCCCACCCCTTTGTTCTTAAAGCACTGCTCAGGCAGCCCCGGCCCTCGTTCCGCAGGCTCTGCCACCTTTTTAGCCCCGCCTCTTCTCCCAGCCCCGCCCTCTCTGGGAAGCCCCCCTCTACCGCTCACTGCTCATCCTCCCCAAACACATCATTCTGTTTGCGTTTCATGTTCTCAAAGTCAAAGTCGCTCCCGGTCATACGTTTGTAGATGTCCTTGATGTTGTTGCAAGTGGTCTCAAAGTGAGTCGTGGCATCGTAGGACCTTGAGGCAAACAGCTGGGGAACATAAAATAACAAGACTGAGAATCTTATAGCACTTTAGCAATCAGCACCATATTAAAGTGGTTGTTCTTACCTGGCTCTCGGTACCATCATCTGTAGGCTCATAAAGATCACTAATAGCCACAAACCTGTCAAAAAAAAAACTCCGATAACTAAACCCGGTTATGAATCACAAGGTTTGTTAAATATTTTCTATCGTGTTATCATGCTGCGTTTGACGGCCTCTGTGTTTCTTAAACAATATATGAACGAAACGTTAGACGACAGAGGTGAAATGAGAAGCTGTGGGACTGACTTTTGGTCGATGGGCTCCAGCAGCTCCAGGGCCGGCTCTATCTCAGCCTCTGGCTCGCCGGTTTCCACTGTGGTGCTGACGATGGCAATGTACTTCCCCTGGGCTGCCACGTTGTGAGCATAGGAGATCATGCACACGTAGATGTCTGGAGAATTGACAGAAGGGTTAAGAGGAGGGGCCAGTCCAACCAGTTAACCCTGCATTTATTAATTACCCTGAAGGCAAATATTTGGACAGGTAGCCGCTAAATGTTCTGCTAATGCTGACTGTCGTTTGATGCTGGGCAGGTAGAGTGCAAAACATGCATTACATAATTTGCCTCCATATGTTAGTTCCATATATATAAATTCAAATCAGTAACATTCAACAGAAGGGCCATCTTTGTAAACGATCTTACTGCTTCAGTCTCTTAGAGCTCCATCATACTACTGTATGTTCCAACATTTAGCTTATCTGCTAAAAAGTGACAACAATCCTCACCTGAGTTGCGGTTAACCTGATTCTGAGGAATGATGATCTGGCAGGAATTGGCATCATTAGTGTTTTTGATGGGGTGGTTAAGGATGCAGATCACACGGATCACCTGGCCAACCTTACGGACGCGGTCTGGGATGTAGCTGGGGTCACAGATGAGCTGCTTACAACGAGCCACCTGCAGCAGCAATAGGTAAATTCAGCATTTTAAAGAACTTGCTTTCTTATCCTTTCATTGTCTACTCTAACGTTTGCTATAACATTACATCTGCATGACAATGAACAATAAATCAGCATGGCTGTACCTCGCCCTCAGACTTCACTCCAATCACACGGCCGCCTTCCATCACAATCTCATCCACTGGTTTGTTCAGCATGTATGTTCCTCCATAGATTGCACTCAACCTATGATGACAACAGAATAAGGCCTGTCATTGGGTGGTTATGTATTTCTGTATTTACTATTAAAGACAATCTCTACTCTATCATAATAATCAGAAATGATAAAACAATACCTGGCAAATCCCTGTGGCAGCTCTCCCAAACCATACAGGGGGTAGAGGTAGGGACTCTTCCCGTACCGTGCCAGAGATTCACTGTACAGTTTGATGCGATTGATCGTCTCCAAACAGGGAACATCAAGGTAGCTGACAGAGAAGAAAAAATAAAGGAAGGGAAGTCAATTCTGGTCTATGTAAAAAAACATCCTACTCAAAGCTGAGTGGTTTATTGAGCATAGAGTATTAGACATCACTTGGTCAGTACCTATATTAAGGAGTACACCTTTATTAGAGCACATATTCCTCAGTGACTACATGTTAAAACTGTGATAAATGCAGGTAAGAAAGATGAAGCTATCAGAGAGTTGTTGACAGGTTATGAATAGTTTTATGGTGTCCTTTATTGTTCTTACTCATCTGTCCTGTAGAGGGCCAGGGCGTGGCCAGTGAAATCAATGACATCCTGGCCGAGGTCGAACTTCTTGTAAACATCCCTCATCGTTATGGTTTTGGGGTCGACACCTTCAAAGGTCTTAGGGTCATTCTCATCAAAGTTGGCCACAAAGACCAAGAACTTCCGAAACCTTCGCTTCTCAAACATCCCCATAAGGTCTGGAAATTCAAACAAAGGCTTTGTGTCGGAATGACGTCATGATTGTTTCACTGTGATTTAAATACTCTACTCTTGATACTTTTGCTCATAAAGCTGTGATGGGACATAGTGGAGCTGCTTACTTGAACCTAATGCCTCGGTCTCGGTGGAGGGCACCTTGTAGATCTTTCCTCCTTTGTAGACAAAGCTTCCCTCCACAACTTTAAAGTCAAGGTATCGTGTCACTTCTGTGTATAGCAGCATCTTCACAAGCTGACCTGCAATCACAAAGACAGATATATGTTCATAGCTTCATAAACATAAACATTAAGGTGGATAGAAGTGTTGCGTTGAAGTGCATACAACTGTCCAGGTGCGTAAATAAATAAAGTGGCCAGTGCGTGTATATTCATTCCTTTATATACACCTAGCTAGTAATGTGAGACTGACCATTGGCCATGAGAAACTTGGGGATGAGGTCAACATTCCAGTCTCTTCCTCTGCCCATTGACTCAGGTGGACTATCTGGGTGACTGAAGCGCTTGTACAGCTGTGGCAGAGGACACCAAAGAGAAGCATCAACAACATCCTCTAAGGCTAAAGTCTATAAAGCTCACAGAATCTGAAGCATAACTGACAATGTGTAAATAAAGACATAAAACAGAAGTTGATGGCACTGGATGTAAAATGAGTTGTACTGGGGGACATAAAATTATATTGATTGGGTTTATAGATCCCAGGAGCCCGTTACCTCCTCCAGGGGGGTGATGGAAGAGCTCTCACCACCGTAGTAAGGGTTTCTGTCCATGTGCCCCATTGACAGACATGATCCCGGACAGAATGCACTCCGGCATAAAACAAGATTTAATACCCAACATTAACATTACTGACATAGCATCAATTTGAAAAGACACCGAACAGAAACATCTTAGGAAAGAGGCCTCTCACAGTCAGTCAGTACAACACAATAAAATTCATGATCACAACAAACTGAAGCCTCCAAAATGATGATACACTGTGTGAAACAGTGTGAACACAAACTGAACATGATCACCTTCATGAAGGAGGATTTATTGGCTTAGATCACTATAGTGCCTAGCAAGGTGTACCTAATAAACTGACAACTGAGGGTGTTTTTATCATATTTTCCACCACATTTATATAATTTAGGGTAGGCCTAATAGGATTTATTGTGTGACTGTAATATTACACTACCTTAGCTAGGTGTGGCTAATAAACTGGCAACTGAGTGACAGGAGGTTTCGACAGAAGGCTGCGCTGGACAGAAAGAACGGTGTGCGCATGCGCGCCCAGATCGCTTCACCCGTCTATCCTAATAATAACAAAAATATGAATTATAATAATAATGTGCATCCTTAAAAATGATATTCGACTGACATTATCACAGCGCACTACACGTCGTAATGATAATGCGCCAACAAAATAATAGTCTAATGCACAGGCCGCCTTTTAAGGCAGCATAAAGCCGTTTACGCGCTTAATGTCACATAAAATGTACATCGCGCCGCAGTGGGTGTGATAAGTGAAGGTAAGTGCGTCGAGAGGAGCAGCAGCGAGAGGCTCGGTCATTTAACAAACCCGAGGTCTGGCCTGCGCCAACCTCAGGACGGAGGCCTGACTACGGGGACATGACACACTGTGGGGTTACGCCTAAAGGATGCTGCTGGGTGTAACGCCACCCTGAGTCGGATGTGGGGTAAAAACCAAGAACTCCTGGAATACTGGGATGCACGAACAGATCGAGTGCTGCATTTAAAGACGTTTCTGAAGCGAATCTCTAATCACAATTACCTAATATCACAAGCACACGGAGATACGGGAGGCTGTCCCTTCTGGGCTAGGACAGAGGGAAGCAGGCCAGTTGTCTGGCCAAAACGATAAATTCACAAGTAGACACAATCCATCCGGCTTTGTTTAAATGCAGAGCAAACGAAGCCTGGCTACTCACCGTGAGTCCGGTGCCCAGAACGATCACATCATATTCCTCATCCATGTTGTACCACCGCCTCTCTGTCTCGCCCTCTTTTTGCCTTGAGAAATGAAGGGTATTCAAGGAAAGAATGCCAGTGAATCCACACTCCAGGAAATCGGCTCCCTTTCTCTGCCCGACTGCTTCAAACGGCTCGTTAAATGTTCAGTGTTGCTGTTTAAACATTCGGCATTAATGTCCAGTAGAATATACGTCCACACTGTCACCGGCGAGGACGACCAAAGATGGCCCTGATCGAAGAGCACCTTAGAATAATGTTATTGCGCGTCAACAAATAGCGCGCATCCTGCTCTCTTCCCATGTTGTCACACAATGGACTCAAACTGCAAAGATGTGTGTAACAGAAAGCCCCGCACTGAGGTGGCTCTTTGAGTGATTATTTACGCTTTATGTTTCGTTTTAGAGCCTGTCTTTGGGTTTTGCTTTGTGTTTTTTTTAACCATCTGTTCAAGTCTGTGTTCTCTATTTTATTTTCTATCCTTCCTTCCCAGTTGTAAGCGCAGCGTTGCCTGGATGCAGTCAGTTGTATCCCTCCGCCACCACAGCCGTGTGGATGGGAGTTGCTTTCACTGACTGAACGCACGCAGGCCCCGCTAATGCAAAAACTGTTAAAATGTTTGTTAGTTCACTTCTAGTTTACAGTGTTTACAAAAATCATCATAGGTGGATGGTGGGATATGACAAAAGTAGTTAAATGCCAGAATTAAAGTGCGTGTCAGCACCATCGACAGTTGCCAGTTTACCCCGTCAGTCATTGACAACTCACATGCCTTTTTATGGCACATTCAGTGTTATGACAGCTATTGTTTCCGCTAGTATCTGACAAAGAACGGTTTGTAAAACGTTTATGAGCTGCTTGACAGATGTATTTAATGTTTTATACATCAGCTATTATTAAGAAGAACACGGTGGTTTTCCAGGTTGTGGAAAAATCTCCAAATTGTTTGTAATGTAATGTTTGACTACTGAAAAGATAAGTAACCTGCAATCATAAATTTTAGGCAGAATATAACAAACGTCAACAAATCATTAGGGTTCAACGATCCATTGGTCTGTAGTTGAAAATACCATTTAGTACATTTAGAGATGGATTTTAGTGAAGATGCCCTGTAGCACTATTTCTGAAGATAAGTGGTTAAATAATCAATCGGAGATGTGACAAATACAAGTAAAGTTTCATGCTGGAGGAGGATTTTACACAACTTGGCAACCCAAAAGATGTTCTTATTAAATAATCATAACCTATATACAAAGCATTAGCAAACTATTTATAAAGTCACTTATTAAAATGCTTCATTACAAGTAAAAATCATGCACTGAAAATCTTAAGTAAAATATTCCAGAAAATGTAGTTTACTTAAAGTGTAAAAGTACTTAATGCCAAAAATGGCCCCTGCTGCTGTTATATATTATTCATTAAATACTATTTAATTATGTGCAAGTGGCATTTTACTCGGGGTAGTTTATATCAGACTTAATAAAAGGATAATTTTCATTATTATTTTCTGAATGAAATGATTTAATTGTTGGTTTAAAATAGCAGAAAACAGAAAAGTGATAAATTCCTGTCAATAGTCAAAGCTTCAAATTGTTTTAAAATTAAACTATAACAATTAAAATAATCAGATGGGTGAAACAACCATTCAGACTCATATTCACACATATGCCTGGTTGTACTTAATCTAATCAGTATGTCTTTGGACTGTGGGAAGAAACTGGTGCGCCCAGTGGACACAGAATGGCCCCAGCCAGCTGGAAGGGCTAACCACAGCATCACAGTAGCACTTTTCTGTGTCATATATAGAATATCTTTGAATTTTGGGAAGAAACAAGACATTTGAAGACAACATGGTAGATTGAAAGTGATTAATCTAGAAATTAATCCGAATGAAAATAATTATTAGTTGCATCCCCTGTTGAGTAAATGCGGAAATAGCAAATATTCACATTCAAAAGGCTCAAACTACTGAATTATTATATATCTATATCTATAGATATATATCTATTTAGATATATATTGGCAGTTTTCTTTGAAAGGAATACGTAGGCCTAAATATAGCTACCGTTTGGGGTTTATAAGAGCCTAACAACTAATTTTTGCCCCAGGGCCCCTTGGGAGGTCAATCCGTACCCCAGGGCCCTCCAGCAGGGTATTTGCCTATGAGTACAAGTGCTCTGAGTAAATGTACTTAGCTGCCTTCCACTACTGGTAGTTACGTTGTGTCCAGGCTCGTGGGAGTTAAACTGTTGTCGAGTTTTGGCTGAGCAGAGTACAGCGCAGGCGCAGTCCGTCGTGGCGTTGACAGGCAGCTGTGGGCGGGGCAGGGATGGAAGAAGCAGTGAGCACATGACTGTCAGTTGGGTTGTGTCACGTGAACAGAGCTTTGCGGAAGGACAGAGAAAATGGAAGCATCAAAGTGTTCGAGTAAAGTGCAATTATTGGCTTTTATTTCCTTTTTCTTCGCTTTTCTCGCCACGGGGAGCTGCAGTGCTCAAGTACCGCTTCTAATATGGTCCAGTGATAGGTAATGTCCAATTTCCATTTTTATTTGTCACATAAGAGTCGCTTTAATCACCTTCTGTAGGTTGACATTCATGCTAATGCTAATACAAGCACTTGTACCACGTTCTGACCGACCTAGCCAGAACTCATTTGTGAAAACAAAATGTTTTATAATTCTGAAGCCTTAAATCACACTTTTTCTGCTTTAATACAATCCTTTGATTGACAAACATTTTCCAAATACTGAGTTAATTTTCTCACAACAGTTTGTGCCATTCGTTTCCATCGAGGAGCACAAGGTTCACGGAAATACTAACATTTCGACATTAATAATGTTATTACAAAGTCGGTTTGAAAATGCAGTTATAATTGCAAATGCAGGTTTTAATCTTACATGACCCTTGTGACCCTCTATAGTCTTATCCTGTCCAACATAAATATTTCTACTAATGTGGGTAGTGGCTGGGTCAGAGGGAGGACAGAGCTGTGGGGACATCACACCGAGGTCAGGGTTTCACTATGCCAAAATAGGTTTGTGCATTGTAAGGACAAATATCATATATAAAATAGATAAATAATAAAATGGGCTCAAACGCACATAAAGTTAATGTAGGGAGATGTGTCTTTACTGCACAGTGATATGATGACACAGCCTCCAGTTTTACATGCCCAATGGTGACACATATTATTAATTGTCATAGGGTGCGACTGTCCGGACCATGTGTGACCTATAGGAGTATATCCAATCCAAACATGAATAACTAAACAATGGTTTAATTAAGAAAGAGAATAGGGTGTTTTAAGAAGCTTTTTTTTTTATTGTCATTGTGACATGTACAACGAAATTATGTTTTGGAGCCGAGGGCAAGGACACTTCGACATGTGGACTGCAGGCACCGAGATTCGAACCTTTTTTAAGGGACACAAAGTGTTGATGTCTGTGCATTATGTTAAAGCATGCTCTGGCTAAATACGTTTTGTCCTTAAAATGGCTACGATACGTTGTGACTTGACATTTTATATTTGTAATGGGCAACAATTTGAACATTACTATGGTGTCGAGGTCTAGAGTGAGCCAGGAAGTCACAGTAACACCTCTGAACTTTGCAAGGTCAAGTGATGAGTTTGACGTTTTCATGTTTTTCATTAATAAGCTCTGACACTGCTATCCTGATATTTCTTTTGTTTTGTTTGGGTTTTATGGTGTGACATTGTTTACATTAAAATGAAATACTTTCTACATTTATTAGTGACCAGTTCTTTAAAATCATTGCTGCCATGTGGCAAATGATACAAATAAAAGCAAGCTGTTTAAGGTAGCCAAAAGATAAACATCATATGATGTGACACTTTAAGTCGTAATACATGTCACAGCATATTACAGAAATTTAATTTAAAATAAAAATTCTGAACATAAATATTGAATGAATTTAATGGTAGCAAATAATCCATAGAATGAATGTTTTCATTTTCAAATTTATATTTCATTTAACCATGTTTTCAGCATGTTGTCAGAAGTGTTTCAGAAATGTGTTTAAGCAGCTGAGTAAAACCATATCGATATCACAGGTTGTCTTTGTCTTCCCTGCACGTTTAGCTTACCACCACTGGCCTCACCCGCAGCTGGTCACATTACATCCAGTGACCAGTGGACTGCCTACCTCACCTCCACCTTTAGCTCTGGCTCCCACACTGTGCTGCTGTTTCTGCAGGACAAGGTCAGTCCCCTGACACATGAAAACTATATTCCTGTTGTGTAGTAAACATGGTTACAGTGTGTCATATAACATGTTTGAGCCAAGTGTGAAAGCTGTTGTTGATTCAGTTTGTACTTTCAAAGAGTCTCTGAAGCTTTCATACATTTCAGTGTTCATATGTGGCAACACTAGTCCTTGGCTATGTAAGTTGTGTAAAACAGGATAGTTACAACTTATGTGTGGTTGCACTGCAGTCCCACGTGACACTGTGTAATAGTCTTGTCATTGTGTTGTGACAGTGAGCTTTGGCGTTACTTCCCATTTCATGGTTCCTTTGTAGTCCCTTGTCTGGGCCGGTCGACTGTGTGCTGCGTGGTCATTGTTGTGGCTAATTAATGGCAATGATGTTTCACAGTTTTATGATTCTGCTTTTCCCATTCATCTGCTAATGTAGGTGAAATGTGACATTTCATTGTCTGTTTGTATTCAGTTAAGCAAAGATGACTTCACAGTCTTTGGTGGAGTGTTTGGAAACAAACAGGACAATGTCTTTCACAACCTTGAGGTAGGTTTTTGTAATGTACACGTTAGTCCTGGATGAAGATGATTTTCAGACTAATCATTCTTTCCATGCACTCCTCTCCAGGCTGCACTGCAGTCTGCTTCCTCATCAGTGATATTTCAGGCCTCAGAGTGGTTGGGCTCCTCTGCAATCCTGGCTCTGCTCCAGGACAAGCTGGATGTCTCACCTCTGCATGTAGACCCAGACACTCTAGCAGAGCTGAGCATCAACACATCTGTCAACAATCTACTGGTCATCAGTCTTCCTTATTGTACTGGGTGAGACAGTTTTGTTCTGCCGTATATGAGTGAAGGGAGATCATTTTTCTATTTATACCTAGACATGGAGAAAATGAACTTAATTTGACTGTTTTATAGCTTGCACAAGCCTTGCAAGGACATCCTACATGGCAATGGTAAGTTTTAACTGTTCAATTATTACTTGGTGTGACATTAATAGCATGTTAGTCACTGTATAGTTGAAATCATGTACCATGTGTATTCTGCTTTCAACAGATGAGATTATTGGGAAAGTTCTGAGTATGGTGAAAGCCAAAAATATCCCATACACTGCTATATACACAGGACTCCAGCCATCACGAGTAAGATATTCTAAATGCACACACAGTCGACACAGAATTATACTTTTTTTTAAAATTATGTTTATCCTTACCCAACATCATATACAATAAAAAGTCAAACACATGTGACACACCAAGACATGAAGCATTTTAATATGACTCGTGATTTCGCATGTCTGCAGGTGATTTCAGAGTCGTCTGTGCTGAACCAGCCTGCGGGCCGGTCCTTGCTCCAGGCACCTGTGCCAGATGTGAAACCACCCATTATGTTTAATGTATCCGGTAACCCTTGCATAATGCTTTGGGCTCAGAATCTCAATGTCAGTATCTCGGGTACTTTGCCATGGGTTGACCTCGCAACAGAAACGCCCTCCGTGACAAAATCACGGTGTAGCAGCAATAGCTCACTGTGAGTGAAACGTTCATTATTTCAATAAAAAGTCCAGTGTGTGAGCAGGTTTTTTGTCCCTGTTGACAGGAGAGCTTCCTTTTTTTGTTATTTGAAGGAAATAAGTATTTTAAAATGTATTCTTTTCTCTCTTTAGGCTTGTCCTGTCTTATACATCAGGCTATACACTAAGGTGAGGCTATCAGTTGCTTATTTAAAAGGAGTATTTAAGACATGTGGGAAATAGACATTCTCTATATAACCTCTCATTCCATCAGTTAAATATGTTGCTATAGCCAGCAGCTGGTTAGCTTAGCTTAGCACAAAGACTGGAGACAGGGAAACTGCCTAGCTCTGTCTAAAAATAACAATGTCCTTTAAAATGGGCTGATAAATATGCGGTATCTTATTTGTTTATCTGTACAAAAACTGTACTGTAGTGTGTAAAATAATAAATTATTTCAAAAACAGTCTTGAGGAGGCACAGCTGAGACTCCAGCAAGACACTGAGCCTGGGCAGAAATAATCATGCACATGACCCCTGTGGAACTACAGACTGTTATTTTTACACTTTGATTCTATACAGGTTAAACAAATAAAATAGAATGTGCTAAGTGATCCCAGAGGTGCTGTTAGGCATATTTACATTTGGACCGAGGCAGGCTAGTGGTTTCCCTCTGCTTCCAGTCTATAGGCTAGGCTAAGCTAACTGGCTGTTGAATGCTGACTGTTATTCTATGATTAGTAGTCTTTTACGTTGACATGCTTTTGTTAAGATCCTCTGTTTGATCTCCAGTTTTTACATGAGTCAGCGGTTCTATCCTGGGTCTGCGAGGAACTGGTTCACCCTGGACATGGTGCAGTTGCAGTATAAAGATCTAACTGGGGTTTTCTTGGGGAGCCGTGACATTAGTGCCCCTGCAGAGTATTCCTACCACTGCAGTTTCGTCAGCAGCGTTGAAGAACCTCTGTTGGTGCCAAACAACAGTGACAACAAAAACACATCTCAGTGGATGCTCAACTTTGTCGACTTCCAGGTACAGCTATGTTGCTGCGCTTTCCACTCTGCCACTCAACATTTCTGCACCAATGCATCAAGTGCTGTTTTTAATTAAGAGACAACTCTTAATTAATTTTTTAAGCAGCTCTAAATTTCGCCCTCTAACTTTTGACCGTTGGACTGTGAGTGAGAATCAAACTCAGACGGTGAGGCCTCCTCTTCTACCCCGACTCCTCTTTGCTCCTCCTGCCCTGTCTATTAAAATACGTCATATGTGGTCATGACAGCCGGAGACAGGTTTGGCAGTCAGGCAGCGCAGCAGTAATAACTGGCTCCAGAACTAATGCGTACAGAATACAGCCCATGGTTTTCGGTGGCATTGCAGTGACATGGATCCTTTCTCTCATACCTAAAGCAGTAACACAAGCTAATTGTTTTTTTTCCCCCAGCAAACAAAAACTGAATAAAAATTACTTAATTTTCTGATCCAGGAAAATGTGCTGGTTTCTGCTAATTGGAGAACAAAACGCTAACGTTGCAGTCAGTGCAGTCAAATTACAACCAAAATAATTCAGTACAAAATCATAATGCTATGATTAGCTTGCTAATGATGCCAACAGATACTGTACATGTTAGCCAGCTACAGTACTTGTGAAGAAAGCCATGTCTGTATCAAATCTTAGTCCTTTGGATGCCTTTAGCGCTCTCCGTCTCTGACATGCCAAAACGATGTTAACCCTGATTTTCTTCGTTCTTTGTTGCACTCTTTCTGTGCTACAAAACGCTGCCTCTAGGGTCTAACAGGGCCGGGGTTAGACCTGCACAAGGAGCCCCCACGGTCCATCATTGAAATGAGCCACACTGATTTGTAAAAGCTGTCTTATAACCTCAGATCAGCGTGAAAGAAGTGTGGATTTTAACAACAGGTGGGGGGTTCGTGCAGCAGGGAGACAGCACTTCTGGACAATTTTCTTTTACTTGATTTATCCAACTTTGTGTTAAATCTTGGTTAATGCAGCTTTAATCATGAAGTGTTTGTTTACTGAACATTTTATACATTTCCTCTTTTTTTTTTTTTTTACAATACAGATTCAAGGCTTCGGTTTGGCAAACGGAACGAATTTCTCCTATGCCAGTGACTGTGCAGGCTTCTTCTCCCCAGGGATTTGGATGGGGCTGGTGACCGGCCTGATCATGTTGTTAATTTTAGTGTACGGTCTGCACATGATCACGCACCTAAACACCATGGACCGGTTCGATGACCCCAATGGTCCATTGATTTCAGTGCCTCAGACGGAGTGAAGTCCTCCCAACACAGACACGCCCTCCTCAGGGGTTCAGTGCCTCCTAGTAGATTTTGTAAAAGATATTTGTCATTCCTTTCCTTTGATATTTTCTCCTATACTGTATATTTCTGAGTCCTTCCACAGCTGAATTTGGGATATACTGCAAGGCACATTCAGTTTCTCCACATTTGCAAGTGCCAAAATGGATGCACCTTTATCGTTATACCAGTTGATTCTGTGTGTGTGTGTGTGTGTGTGTGTGTTTGGCCAAACACTGGAAAAGAATTTGCACTCTTAACAGAGAATGCCTTCAGTGCCAACATGAATATGATTGCTGGATGGTGTAGGGCCGTTTCAGATCTCAGTTCTTACTTTATTTTTCCAACTGTAATTTAAAGACTACTGCTAATGAAAGAAGTGCCTGTATATGAAATTTGATTGTTTATGAAAAGTGTGAAATTTCTGAAGTTGCTCTTTTGGGATTGCCTTAGAGAAGTATGCTAATACTTCCCCTTGACCTTAGTTTTGTTTTCACTCCTCATGGTTAAATTGCACCACTGCAAGCCATTTATTTGTGTGAAAAGACTGCCCTTTTAGTTTATCCTCTGCATCTGGTTCATCCATTCATTTCTGCTTGTGCCAAATATATGGATATGCAATTGACATGACTTGTACAGTACATTGTGTTTAATTGCAAATAAATATATCTATTGATTGATTAGTTGTATAGTTTAAAGACAGCAGTTTGACTGTTTTCCTAATTCTTTAAATGATTATTTTATTGATAAATTGTCGAGCACGTGTTCAAATAATTTTACCCTTTTTATGTGAACTGTCAAAGCACCCAGACAGGCCTCCAAGGAGCGCAGGTCCGTTCATGTACGAGGACGGAGTGGACGCCATCTTTTTGTAAGCGAAAGCTTTATGCAATATTTTGATTGCAAAGACACTAGAGATAGTCGTATGTAATATTACGGAGCATTAACTTCGTATTACCGCCTCTGGCCCAGTGACAGCTGGGACTGGCTCCAGCCCCCTGGTGACGCTCCTCGGGGTCAGCGGATGAAGGATGGAGCTCTGTATCAACTTTGTTGCCATGGTTACATGTTAACACAGAACCGCTGTCGTGGCAGATCGGGACGACAATAGGTGTGGGTTAGCGTAACCTCTCTTTTGTGTTTGGTTTCAGTTACTTGGCCATAAATAGTTTTCCAAAAATGTCAGCAGCACCTGCTCAGCGAGTATTTTTCGGCAGCTCTCAGGAGAGGAAACTCTTTCCGCTCCATTATGCGCCAGACCGACTGGGAAACCAAATGTCGAGACACACAGCTCCACACCTCGGCCCTGGCCGCTATGACAACCACGAGGTTTGATAGAAGATATGACTTCTACAGATATCAGTGTGTTTCGAGTGCTTTATGATAAGTTTACTAATCATGTGACTCATTTTGTGTACTTCCTTCACAGTTTGGCACCATAGTGTATGACTTAAAGAAGACGCCGGGGAGTAACAAAGGTTACAGCCTGTCTGCGAGGACTGCCGCACGCTTTCCGCCTTGCAGCAAGGTGCGTGTTAACATGTCAGCCATGTAGCCTATTAACGCACGTTAAGCCGATTTCAGATAGGACGTGGTATGCGCTGCGCTCGCCGCATGGGGTGGGTGCAGCACGGGGTGCCAGTTGCTAGGGGACCAAAAGGCTTTCTACCAGTGGTAGGCAAATATTAGCTAGTTTTTCGAACAGGGGACCTGGATGCACGATGTATCTCTCTACATGTCAGCGAAAAGCTCTGGCCTTAGTTGTATTGATGATGAGGAGGAGGAGAGGAGCCGCAGTAAAGAAGAATAAGGTGTGGGTCCGCCAAAATCGGCTTCTCCTCCATTTCTTTGTGGTCTGTCAGGTCCTCTGCAATTGGACTTGTCGAGGTGTTTTCACGGAGCGCTGTTAAACTTTAGAGTCAAACGTTTGTGTAACTTTGGCGCAGAGCGCAGGGATGGCGCAGTGACCTGGGCGCAGCGCAACATATAGACATGAATGGGTTTGACTGCGGAGCGCAGCACCCACTGCGTCCTGTCTGAACACCGCTTTAGTGGTGTGGAGGCAGACCCAAGCTTAAAGGGTCATTTCACCGACGTCACAGACCAAAGTCAGGTTATTTGTCACTGGGCTGTAGAAAGTCTTAACTTTCCAGTTTGAATGATGTGGAACTCACTGTTAGGAAGGTTAGTTTTGAAATGTAACAGGTTACAGATTATGCTACAAGTTACCCTGTTTAAAAATGTAATGATTTGAATTAGTTCTTTCTTAGTAAATGTATTACATGTATTTTTACTGCTCGTGTGGTTTAAGAGTTAAACTTTCTAACAGAGAGCCTGAGGTAAGAACTGGAGGAGTGTGGTATTATTATAGTGGACATACAGTGCTTAGTCACTAACAGTAAAGTGAGGATGGCTTTCCAAAAGTAATGCCATGAATAGTTTTGATTTATCAGTTAATTGTATAAACAACGTAGTAAACAGAAATGACCTAAATCAATATTAGGTGTGAGCAAACCTCGCCTATGAACAGCACCAGTTGTCCTTGTTTTATTTGCAGATAGTTGTTCAGGTACTAGGTTGTTTCAGCACCTCAGAGAACCTGCCACAGTTCTTCTGTGCGTTCAGGTTGTCTCAGTGTCTTATGTCTCCTTGTGTAATCCAGGAGCCAATTAATGGATTTGTAGATTCCACTGTTTTAGAACCTGACTCATACAAGGAGCCATTCTTTTTATGATCTGTTGTTTGTCCATCCCCCAACTTCATGCTAGTGCTATACTAATTTGCAGGAATAATCCCTGAATGTTTCCAGTTTGATTGAAAGATATCTTTATGATCTCCATCGTCAGACTGTGGCCCCTTCACCGCAGCAGTACCAGCAGGATCAAAGCCAGTCCAGAATCCCCCCTCCTGGCAAGACACCTTTCAACTCAAGTGCACAGAGGTTCAAAAGAACGTCATCTACAGCTGAGCACAATCCAGGGTAAGGCAGAGAGACGCCCAGGAACACATCTCCAACGTAACCGTGCTAAGCAAAACTGACAAATGTTACTTTGTGACGCAGCCCCGGGACCTACACTCATGATGTAGTGACAACCAGGAAGGTGAGCTGGCCTATGCGCTTTGGGAGGCCAGACTGGTCCAGGCTGCCTCATCAGGAGAAGTCGTCACTCAGGGTGAAGGTGGGGGAAGCAAACCCTATTCTGTGAATTTGCTCTCATGCACTTAAATGTTTTTACCTCCAGATGTGAGACAAACTGAAAAGGGCAGCCAGTTCGTATATGCAAACCCATCTGCAGTTTCAAGCTAAAACCAGGGATATGAAGGATGATTTGTGTTCAGTTGTGCATCTTGAGCAGAAGGTGTCTGATGTTTCCTGTCCTGGTAGAGATGAGCTGATTCAATCTGGGTGTCTTAAAGGAAAAGTTCAACTTTTTGATGTATGTGTATATGAAGCTTTCTTGCCCAACATTAGATAAGCAGATAGACGCCACTGTCACATCTGTCTGTATGAAACTAGCAGCTGGTTAGGTCAGCCTAGCATAAAGAATGCAAACGGGGGAAACAGTTACTGACTCCATCATTTCAAACATGGGAGGGAAAAAAATCCAGCTAGCAGCGCCTCTAAATCTCACTAACATATTTTACTTTATGCTTACAACAGTGTAAAAATGACAGCTTGTGTTTTGCAGTGAAAGATCAAACAATTGTTACTAGAGAAGAAGATGATGTTTAGTTTGATCATTGTGGAGGATGCAGTTTGTGCTGCTGTACTGGATTATACTGACAGGTGTTGACTTGATCCATCCCATTTACATCACTGAGGCTAGGCTAAATGACAGACCTCCAACCTGTTCATACATTTAAATCAGCACCTCTCTGAAATACTCTGAACACTATCACCTTCGTGATGGACGGTTTGTTGCAGGACTGTACCGACTTAGTTTGAGCCAGGTCTGTCTGTCACTTCTGGCTGTTCGCGTTGGGGGTCACCACAGTAGGTCATCGCACTGACAATTCACATGTTGAAAATTGGCATGTATTTTACACCGGATGCCCTTCCCTGAATCGAACCCGGGCCGCAGTGGCGAGAGCGCTCAATCCTAGCCACTACTCCATTGGGGACCCCGCCTTAGTTTGAGCCAGGTGTACCCAATAAACTGACAACTGAGTGTATATCTCTGTAGAGGGGCACAGCTGCTGCTAAAAATGCATGATTTTCTAGCAGGAGTTTAACTTGGTGGGTTAATTCCTAATGTGTCCTGACCAACATCTCACGCTCTTTTGTTCTTTATCTCCAGGTGAACAGTGAGAAGGAGTTCCTGAAGCAGAGGAGCAGAGTGGCCTACCTGAGTCTGTACTATTAACTCTGAAGCTGGTGGTCGGAAACCCATCATGCCACCAACACAGGAATGTCATTCTTCTTATTTTCCTACGCTCTGTCAACAGTGGCGTGAACAATCACAGACTAAAACCGATGTCAAAAAAGTTTTATATCTCAGAGTTTACAAAAAGAAACTTAGCTTTCTTTATTTACAAAGAGCAGATTACTGTGTCTGTATATTACAGCATGATGTTGTTTACAAAAAGTGAGTGCTTGCTGAAAAAAAAAAAAACCCAACAGAAAAAAGTTCTCTTCAACAGAAGCCAGTCAGTTTGCCAAAGCCATTGGCAGTACTGGTCCCAGCACTGAGTTGGAGCGGTGGCTGCTCCGCTCCTTTGCACTGCACTGCACTGCTACAAGCACCAGTCACTGTGGCAAACCTGAGTCCATCAGCTGAGGTGGGCCCGAGCTCATTTCTTCCTTCTTACTTTGGGCTTCTTGACCGGCCGGAGGTATGGGTTATCGATCATGTTGTCCTCGCTGACCTTTGCTGAGGGAACAACGCCGCTGGGCGGAAGCATGGAGTTCTCCTTGTCAGCTCCTGGGTCATCCTGAGTAACAAAGATGGATGTGAGCAACAGTGCACTCTAAAAAATAACTATTAAAAAAAGAATGATCACAACATTCTGACAATAATTTTAAGGTCATGTGAAATCCAGCAACTCGGAGAGAAACCCTGATGGTGGGATCACCCTTTCTGTATCAGACACTGTGCAAGCTCCAGCCATGACAACTTACAGTCATGAGGTTTCCTGTTGTGTTCTCGCTGTCTGTCTGGTCGTCCTGCTCAGAGGAGTCGGTCTCCTCCAGACTCTGCAGTTCCAGTTCTGAGGGCAGGAGGGCGCTGAGATATGGGATGGCGCTCGGCTGTGCTGCGATCACTGACAACACAGTTGCAGGAGTTAGAACACATGCAAAGACAACAAAGCTTCAGACGTGAATGCATCCAAGATTACAGTTCAGCTTGACAGAATAACTCACGTGGAAAGGCAGTGATGTCGTCTTTGAAGAGGCTCTGAGTTTCTCCGGTTTTGGCCATGAAGCGTGTGAGTGCTCGCTCCACGTCTCTCCTCTGAGTTGCTGCCTTCTCTCTCACCACTTGGTAGTCTGACACAGGCTCTCTGAAAGTCTGCACAAAGAAAGACAACGTTCTGTTCTCTCTTGCACATATTGAAGGTTGATGCCCTGACTCCAGTGTTGAACCTGAAGGGTGCCCGTGTCACTCAGGGTCAATCAACACTTTTCAGCAGGTTGACAGGATCGCTCTGACCATCCTGAGCTAAGTTCTAACTCACGGGTGTTTTGATGTAGGTGTGAGGGTCAGGGAACTCTGGGAAATGGCTCGGGATGTGAGCCGGATGTGTGCGTTTCTGTCCGGCTGACAGCGCTTTGGGAGTCACAGGTGGGTTCGTCACTGGAGCTGAAATTCATAAAATTCAAACATTTGTCACATCTCATATCAATTAAAGAAAGTAGTTGATCACTTTATCTATTTAGAAACTGACGCTACCATTTTGAGTTAATTTCATTACTCTAAGTACCAAGGTGGAAAAGCGATTACTCACGGGCAGTTATAACCATCCTCTGTGATCTTTTGGCGTATACAGGCAGAGTGTCGACATTGAAACCTGCAGTGACAAACAGATTCAGTTATAAATGATGATGAAGTAACTGATGATGATTTGCGTCCTCCTGGACTTACCCATTTCAATGAGTGTGACCACTGTATCTGACAGGGTCGGGATGCTTCTGGCTGTGTGTTCACAATAAGCTTTGGCACAGCGGCCGATTTCATTTATATCTGAAAAAGCGAAAGCAGGTTTAGAAAAGTCTCTAATGAACCCTAGGGAATAAAAGGATGGGCCATAACGACCAGATTTTCAGGAATCATTAAGATATTTTTGTGTTTCAGCGTACATCATGAATATAACGTGAGGACATGTACAGTGCTAACAGTGAAGGTAATAACTATAGCAGTAGACAAACTACTCAAAGGTTTTTTACATGTACAGCAAGTCCTACTTTTTGTCTCACTGGAAGAGTAGACGCCTGAACATCTGAACTAAGGGGATCAACATGATCCATTGCACCAATCCAGCAGCAGTGCTCTCTTTTAGGGCTTCTCCCAAAACATAACAAAATGTCTAACACTCATCCTATTGGCAAACATAAAAATATTTTCTAACTATGAGAACATTCAGCAGGGTGCAGTCACGTCCATCAAAATTACAATATGTCACACAGCTGTTGCACAACTGTTTATTCATATATTTGTAGATTATACCCTAGATTTTCTCCAGTACACCACCATGACCTGGTCACCAAACGTTTTCAGTCACATCGATACTACATGTATATAAAAAAAAAAAACATGATCACCTTTTTAAAATACCTCCGACTCCAACTGATGACTACACACTGGCTGAAAATGAATAAAGCTTGGTGTACTGGAGAAGAGCTGTGTGACATTTTCATTTTGATATACGTAAACGTTTTCAAATATGCAGCTCTGTGGGAATCGAACGCTGCCACAACCCCGGGGTTTATACATACAGCTCTGCATCATCTCAGTGAGTGTCTCCACTGCTGCCTTCTCTGCGCTCTCAAAGCCACTCTCGGTCAGGAGGGCGCTGACCACAACCTGCAGGGTGCGGCGCCGGGCCAGGTGGTAGTTCTCTGCTGGGCTGGACGCTGCTTTACTGCCACCCCCACGCTGAAAGAACCAAGTATAGCAGCTATCAGGAAACAAGGTCATCATGAAAGAAACAAAGTCAATACTGAAAACAACATTTGTCATCCTGATTGTCCACACTGTGTGTGAGCATAGACGACTGGTAAATTTCAGCTCAGCTCCTTCTTCACCACAATGTTCTGGCACAATGTCCACATTACTACAGATGCTGCCCCTGTCAGCCTGTCAATGTCACGCTCGATTTTACCCTCCCTCATGAACAAGACCCCGAGATACCTAAACTCCTTTACTTGGGGAAGCAACTCACTCCCAACCCAGAGGGAGCAGTCAGTCCACCGTTGTCTGGCAGAGCACCACGGCCTCAGACTTGGAGGTGCCAACTCTCATCCCCTCTGCTTCACACTCGGCTGCAAACTGCCCCAATGCGTGCTGCAGGTCACGGTCTGATGTAATTTGGAAAACTGATTCATCATTTAAGCCTTTAAAAATGCCAAAAATCCACTGGTCACATCTTCTGAAATGTGAATTATCTAGTTTCCCAGTAAACATGCCACCTAAAAAGTAACGTGCATTAGACAGTAAGTTAAAAAAAAAGTACAAACAAAGCAAAAAAGTGGTTTCTTTGCAGCAATTCAGCCATAAAGACCATACAGCGTCCTCCGTGGAGCGCTGACGTGGGCTATAATCTTACAGTAACTTTTGTACTTCCTTTCCTGGGACCGTCCACATGAGAGACAGTTTAATCAGTGTTTGTTTGGTTCTTGTGAAGTAATCATGGCCAGTTCTCGCCATAATATCAAAAGATACTACACTTCTGACCAGAGACACCTGTTCACTGAAATCCATGTGTGCACACCTGTCATCAGGACAAACAGAGGCTACTTGGAAGACTCTAAAACACTTTTATTCATAGGTTTGACGACTTCAGTGTTAATCTACATAGCAGAAAATTATTTTTAAAACGAATGAGTCGGTGTCTGCGAACTTTTGGCCATTATTGTATCAAACTGAGCTGAAACAACCGGGAAACTAATGAGCTTAGTCCACGGACCGAAAATTAATCTGAATCAGAATCTGCTTTATTGACCACGTGTGGCGGACACACGAGGACTTTGACATGGGGATATGTACACGCACATTGAGAGGTACATCGGATCTCAATGTGCGTGTACATATGCCCATGCAAGGGGCAAGAAAACAGTAAACCAGCATAAGGCGGTGTAATATAACAAAATAAGCAGTTTAAACAGGCAGTAAACAATGCAGACAGACAAAGGAATGTTCATTGTGAAATGAGATAAATAGGAATAAAAACAGTACTTAAAACTAGACCTGTACGGACCTGTATAACATGAGATAAATATATCTACAGGTGTTGCACTGAGGGTTATTGTCCAGTCATACTGTCGTTCGTTAAGTGTTAATTTAATTCAAATTAAATGCAAAAACTTTAGAAAATCTAATAATCTTAAGTGTAAGAGGTTCCTTTTTCTAACGATAACTACAACTGGAAATGTGCTCAGGGCGTGCAATAAATGTAACGTTAGATAGTAACGATACTCCATATGTAACGTAACTAGCTTTTGCCCTGACAAGTAACTGAAATAAATACCTATTCATTGGCATTTACACAGAAACGGACCGTATAAACTGTGACGTTGCTAACGTTGTGGATTCACGCAGAATCCAACAGTAGTTATTCTTGTCTGTCGGTCGTTGCTGAAACACACCGGTGTAGCTGCTACGCACCGTAAACCTAGCTACATCCGGCTCACGGCGGAGGGCATAGAAAGCTTCACTTTACCCCTCCTGAGTTCAGGGAACCTCCCGATGTCACCGTAGGATCCGCCATCCGCAACTGTCCCCGTTAGATTTAATTTAGTTACAGTGACAATAACTGTACTTATACGACGACGGTTCAGCCGCCGACGGTAAACACGGTGGTTAACATATGACGTCACTTCCGTAACCAGGGCGGATGTCGAAGCTTGTTTTTGTTGTAACAATTTGTGCTGAAAAATCTTGTATGGATTTGCATTAATTAATAAAAACATATTTTAAAAAGCCTGTTTTTTTAAAACCAACTTTATTGGAATTCTGAAGATGCACAATTTATGAATTGACTTATGTTTTCGTGTATTAACATCAAAGTACAGCATTAGTGGAGGGCTAGGTTTTATCAGAGAGAAAAATCAGCTAAAAATAATGATAACAAAATATGAAAACAAAGAAAATTAAAAGAAAAGAATAAACATAACCTACAAAAGATATTTTATCTGTATTTTCTTAATCGCCCTCTAGTGTTCACATGTAAAATCCATCCCCTGATGCTTTTATTTTTTTTTTAATGGAAGGAGATTAGGACAGAGGGTGTAGAGATTATAAAGCCATGATGTGAGATGTGATCCTGAGATATTACATTTAAAAAAAACTGATATGATTTATAGTATAGAATAATTATAGCGAGGGAAATTTGGTTGTAGCCTTTTCTTGTCTTTGCTACATGCAGCAGAAAACAATTTTATCCCAGCTACTCTTAAAAAAATCTAATAAAACAGTTATATTTCAATTTTTGAATATAAGACAAAACGTATAAATTAAGTCATTTTCTTGCTTTCATGCTCTGTCTGAAATTAAATATTTCCCATGCTGGAGCGTAGTGGTGCAAAATGGTTAAAACATACAAGGACCCCGGTGCTAGCTGAAAATAGGTTTATTAGAGTGCAAAATGAGATAAATCACACACATTCCATTCTTTGCCAACATATAAATCACATCACATCTGCAAGTATTGCTGCCCAGCAGCCAGACATTACTGTACCCTGCAGTTTTTATTGTATCTACACATCTCATTTTTCACAATCAAAAGGGAAAATTTCACATTTCACCAAATTTGAAACAAAAGAATGAGTGCAAAGGGACCAGTTCAGTTCACGAAGTTTCTTTAAGAAGCATGTAAGCGGTTGGCTGAGCTTCTCCGCCGAGCATTCACCAGATATTTGGCCTTGGCTTCTATCCCTACTGTCTCCAGCATGTCCTCTGCTTCAGGGCAAACTAATGTGGTGTGTGATTTCAACACCTGCTTCTTCTTCATGATCAGCTCTATCGGTTCATCCTCAAGAGTATCCTGCTCCATCAGTGGCAGGAAAATGATTTCCACCAGGCCAGCAATCGCTCCGAGCATTGCCAGAGTGGAGCCCAGCATGTAGATCTTCAGCATGTTCCGGTTGGGCCTCTGGTTCAACATCTCCTTCGCAAAGGGGATGATCTCACCAATGGTGTCCATGTTGAGTTGTCTGGTTAGTCTGTTGAAGGAAAAGAAGACTTTGTACCCAAATGTTTCAATAGAGAATATTGTTCAAAAACAAGACCAGTCAGTCTTCCTATACTCACTTTGAAGTAGCAACACTCCAAATTCTGGCTTTTGTCAGTGTTCAGCCCAGTCAGGTGTTCACAGGCAGAGGGACCAGAGAAAGAATCAGCTATTTAAAGACAAGTAGAGGCAGGACAACTCCCACATGGGGAGGACATGCATATTCATGAGGTTGCTTGCAATCCAGCTACTTTCTGGAGATTAGGGCATGGGTTTCCAGCACAAGATGTTAATATTCCCTGAAGGGGACACTGTGCATGTGACATCACATGAAGTCGCAATGACTGGTTTGTTTTTGCTATGTGCTTATTTCCACGCGCGCTGAGTCCAATCACAGCGTGCCAGCAGTGGAGAATCTCATTTATTTGTTGCCAGACACTGTTTGACAACTGTATGGTGACGCATGGAAAACACTTTATTGAATACCAATAAGGTTCACTTAAGATAAGCTTCTAGTATAGACAGCCTCCCCCAGTTCGCGCCGTCCCGAGCTGCTCTGACTCACATACACCATCTGACCGTGGAGCCGACGCAGTGAGGGACCACAGGGGTGCACGTCTGAGCTCTCTGCCCTTTGACCTTGTTCCCTACAGGAGAAGAGGGCAAGTCAGGCAAGCGCGTTGTGAAATGCGTCTGATCTTTGCCACAGACAGAGCTGCCATCAGCACTCAGCAAAATGACAACGTCAGGAGACGTCTGCGTGGTGACTCAACATCTGCAGAACAGATGCAAACACGCTGGGCTCCAAAGCAGATAATGTACAGCTTGATTCTCAGCCATGCTGGTGTCATGGCAGGGTGGTCTGGTGGTTGTTCCAGAACTTTGGTCTGAAATGAATTAATTGAAGGATGGATTTGTATTTTTACTAACATTCTCATCTATCAAAGCAGCCTAGAGCCCCAGCTTTGTGGCTGCCATGTGTTACATACATGGACATGAGAGTCCCAGAGCTGGGGCCATGTGTGCATATAGGTCTGTATGTACGACCAGGAAAAGCGTTAAGTGTGGCACGCACAACGTGACGCAGTGAACAATTAAAAATCTCACCTCCATATCCACGCGCTTGTGCATGTTGGCCCACAGAATCATTTACCCACAGACACACCTCCAAAATGTTAACATGCACAACTGCAGGCCTCTGAAAGTGCGTGGCGTTACTCGTGGACAGACGTGACCAGGTAGATGTGACCAAATATATGGCCGTGTGCACAGAGTTTCATCAGTGTTACTGGCGGAATTGTGTTTCACATTGCGCCATAACCTTCACTGGCGCCAGTGGTTACTGCGAGTGACACGCGGTGCACGAATCAGAATGAGCTCCCTGCCGTGCGCACACGTTCCCTCTGAAGAAATAAGGTAGCGCACGGTGTCAGCACATTACAGAAAAAAATCCGAAACGCCAAGCTACGTATGCTCTAATAACATTTTGTACAGCAGCCAAGAACCCGAGGTCAGATAAAAGTCCGTTCAGCCAAAGTGAAATGTCCTGCAGGCCTAATGTCTGACACAGTGACTTGTCCAAAGATAAATGGTCTACAGATACTGACAGTCTGGGGACAGGGGACTAGATGATTCTCTTTACTTTTCCTGTTAGAAGATGTGCAGAACATAAAGTAGTTACTGTTTAAGGATTTAACACCTGGAGCTGTCACTTTATTGCTGTTCACAGATTTCAAATAATTTGCTAAGCATGACAGATGGTGTAGAAATTCTTATTTCATGTTTGAAAGTTTCAAAGTCAGAAGAATAAAAAAAAACTCAACCTGATGAACCATCTCTATTTAATGACATGCTGGGCATGGAGAAGACGAGGATAGTCTATGTGTTCTGACCAGTTTCTCTCCAAGCCCTTGCTCTTAGACTCAAACAGAACAAAGAATCCGTCCTCAGACACACATCATTCACATATGCACACAAGTCATGATGATTATCTATCATCAGGTCAACATTTCATGTTGTCCCACACTTTGGTTTAAAACCAAATACCTACTCAACTAATAATATTTCCATCGACTTCAGCTGATGGTTATAGTCTTCATCACCCGTGACCAGCTGATAGCAGTACCTTAGTGAAGAAGGTCAATGGTAACAGAAGAGTTATCAGCATTGTGCTTTTCTTAACTGTGGTAACAGATTGTATTATAAAATACCCATAATTGCAAAATAAGCATATCTTACTGTGTCAAGACTCTTTTGATAGATTACTGCAGGACACTTGAACTTTTGCTGAGCAGTGATGATGAAATGCTAAATTCAAGAATAACCTTTCCCCCTGTTTTGGAGCGCAGACTTTGTACAAACTGCTGGAATCATCTCTGTGAACACTGTGAGTGCGGATTCAGGGCATTTATGTTTGCTACTGTGGGAAAAGGTTGAGGCTGTTTGGAAACCTTTGCCCCATATTCCTGTCCTCTTCTGAATGGCCAGACGGTCTCTGCACCGGGCTGCACCAAGTCAGCCACGTTGTGTCGAGTGGGTGAGGAGTTTTTATGTCATGTGTTCACATGAAAACTCTTTCAGCAGTGTGTAAAGCTCACACAGAGAGAAGTTAAAATTCATCACACATGGTGATTTGGGCTTATTGGTGACTTTTAAAAGCAGAACAATGGATGTAGAATCTTTTCTTTTTTTAATATGTTTAAATCAAATGATATAAATTCAATTCAGTTCTATTTGGCATATATTTAATTTGTGACTTGTGTTTTTGTTCTTTCAAGAGAAATGCAAGAGAGCCAAGACAAGTACTACGACACCAGCAGACTTTATGCACAAGCACGCAGCAACAGCTTAATACAGATCATAACAATAACTGTTGAATGCATCGGTACAAAGCCACATACAGCTGAAGAGACAAAAAGCAGACTGCCCAGAATGAGCCACTTACAGTAAGTGAATATAAACAGCATTTTATATTCTAACAAGAGCTTTTAAGTGTCAAGTTATAGATATACGTGTGGCATTTAATGTTCATGATGTGTCGCATATAGACTTTTATTAAGTACATGGCTCTTTAGATCATTACCTTTAAATGAAGCAAATACTTTAGAAAACATGAAACAGAACAATGAACACGAGAAAGGTCATGAAAATAAGAGACAAGCTGTTTATGCTTATGTTCTATTGTCCTTACACTGGCTATACGACAATGCTCTATACGTGATGAAGTACAACAATGCGTCTTACTGCTCTGTAAATATTCCCTTTCATGACACGTAGCCACAGCTCTACAAGCCAGGACTCTTAACCTGTTGCTCCATGAGTGAGATGGACACTCAGGTGGAGCTGAGCAGCATCGTCTTCTCTTCAATACTGTCCTGCTAGCTGAAGTCTACCCTGTGCATGTGGATTGAAATGAGTCTGGTCCATCTGAACATGTGAGCTTTGTGTGCGTGTGTGGCTGTCGGGATGCTTCAGAGACACTCTTCCCAAAACAAAATGTCCCCCAGGCTGTGTGGACCTCACAGACCACTCAGGTCCCTCAGACGTTTAGCCACTTCTTCTTCTCTGCACCCAGGGAGCAACTGACACAAAACAGCTGCATGCTGAGTCAGCACAGCAATACTGACCTGCAGAGGGCACAAACACACACATTTGTCTGCAATAGGTCACAACCAAAAATGAGATCTAAATGTTTTCTTCATATATCCCCATGGTCACATTCAGCACACACATGGTTGTGACCAAAAGCCTGCACTGATACTGTTGGACACACTAGAACTAAAACACTTTACTTCAGCTCCCCCGTTTAATCTTTATAAGCTGTAAACAGTAGAAACATTTAACTGTATATACTGTAACACACTATAATGCAGCTGTTTGTTGGTATGAGAACATTAAATGTTAATATGCAATTATAGCTTCTCGGATGAAGACATATTTGAAATGATTATAAGTGAGTTTTACTATATTGTCTTTCATGATCTGTTTAGACACCAGCCTCCACTTATGGAAGCCCACAGGAGTCCGAGCTGCTGTACACTGATAGACGCTTACATCTGCTTAAAACTTACTTCTACACTACCTTCTTAAATTAAAGCTTATAAATGCTAAGTAATAGCACATAAAGCTTGTACGTCTGCACGTGATATGCAGAAGCTTTACTTGAACCTACCACGTGAAATGCTTCTTTTCATGTAAAACCTCATGCAGCCTTCACATGACTGAGCAAACTCCAGTCTGCACAGTCTTGCCGTTACGGATTTTACCATACCTGGAGAGAAACAGAAAGGTTGAGTCACCAGTCAGTCCGGCTGCGGTGCCACAAAGTCAGAATTCAGAGCATCAGGTGACACTGATACGCACCCATTCAGATTGGCGGGCTCAGAGTGGAAGACGTGCTTGCTCTGCTCAGCTATAGTGGGCGTGTGGTGTGGGCCACACCGGCTGTGGCTGGCCTTCAGTGAGTGGTAATGGCTCTTCGGCTCAACGGGGCTGGTGGGCAGGGACATGTGATTTTTCTCGTTTTCGTTGCCTTTGACTTCAGCTGCCTTGGGGCCAAGCTTGTCTGGATCGAGATGTTTGCAGTTTGCTGTTGGAGAGGACAAGTCGACCACCTTGATATCTGGGATGGTGGGCTGTCTCAGGGGGAGCTGGGAGTGGGCTTTCTGCAGCCTCTTCATGTGGTTGACAGCTACAGCGGCGTTGAATGCTTGCTGTAACATGATCAAGAGATTTGAGAGCCGTGTAGACCACACACTGCTTCACCATACCTGCTTATCCATGTCTGAGAGGCAGCTCTGACACTATACTTTACATCACATCTGAGCACACACTACATGTATGTTTCAGACTAATGTTTTCTAATTTACTTTGACAGTAAAAGTACATCAGCCATCAGTGGCCTTAATCACAGAACAATATCTTATTTAACTGTCCTGATTTAGGAAGGATTTAAGTTGGCACCCGATTAATCTACTGTAAACTGTGGGTCCTTAATGAGCTAACTGTGTCTAGCCGAGATATCAGCAAGGACTGACCTTCCACTTGGATTTAGCAAAGTTCTTTTGGATCTGAACGCTGACAGAGTAGTAGATGTCCTGGCTCCGGGCCGTCTGTCCGATAATCCTGGATGAGACAGCACAGAATGCTTGCATTTATCTCAAGGTAAAGTTTGTCCTCTGTCCATGTGCATGGACACACTCTAACCTCATGTACTACACACCCACTGTATGTTTATCATGAATCGCACCAGGAGTCTGCAGTCTCAGTACAATGTAAATAATCTAAGGATTATGTGCTGAATAGTAAAAATCTATACTAACTTTGCAAATTCCTAGAATCTCAAGACATGAAAATTCATTCTGAATTGTTACATTTACTTCAGTACAGCCCAGAGGAACATTTCTACAGTGAAAATTAATGAATCATGGTCTGATTCTTCTCAACTAATGCAACTGTATTACAGGAAATAATTTCCTCATATCATCAAATGAGGTTAGGAATAAAAAAAGATAAAATAATTCAACATTTTAATGGTTAAAGTCAACATATCATAACCAACACTTGAATAAAAAACCTCCCTCAACACGAGGATGGCGACTCACCAGGGATGTCTGAGCGCTTGCTCTGTGGTGTAGCGCATGTTGGGATTCTTCTGCATCATGTTACGTATGAAATCTTTAGCTGCAGGTCAAAAAATGACACATTAGCGCTCTGTGTAGCGGGATTACGTTAGCGGCACCTTACATCTGTGCTGATGCTCAGTGTGATTACCAGATTCTGAAATGTCGTCCCAGAAGGGCGAATCAAACTCATACTGGGCCTTCATGATCTTGGAGAAGAGTCGTGTCTCACTTTCTTCATAAAAGGGAGGATATCCACAGAGTCTGCAACGGCAGCACAAGCATTTATCACATTTAGAAATGTTCCAAGATTTGCCTGCACTAACAATAGTAGGGTATGAATATGTGGTATGAATAGCAGGTGCCCACTAGGTGGTGCTATGGCTCAATCACTGCATTATTATTTTGTATTTACATAGCTCTGTCATACCAACCACAAACATACCCACCAGTGGCTTTTAATTTGAAAATCCTACAACTTTATGAAGAAAAATGGAGCAGATTCCTGGCAGGCTGATCTGAGTTACAGTTCTTCTGTCCAGTGTGTATGTCTATCTACTGATGTAGTTCATACTCACAGTATGTATGTGATGACTCCAGTAGACCAGCAGTCTACTGCCTTGCTGTAGGGCTTCTGTGCCAAAACCTCAGGAGCTGAGATTTTAAAAAGGGAAAGCTGGGTCAGTGAGTGCAGAGAAATGTAAGCATAAACATTGCATATCTGAGCCCCCAACTCCATAAGTGTCAGTACATCGTTCATTAGACAGACACCCTACCTACATATCCTGGAGTGCCACAGGCAGTCGACATGATACCGTTGTCAACCATCTTTGAGAGGCCAAAGTCGCTGATCATGATCTTGGAGCTGTCGTCCTGGCTGTAGCACAGGATGTTCTCTGGCTAACAGAGAGGAGGCAAACAGAGAGGAGAGCTGGTCACACACTCATGTCCTCAGTGAAGAACTCCTCACAGTGTTACTTCACCTGTGATGGAATTAACTCACATTTACTTTTAAATAGAAGTATCAATGCTTTAAATGAAGACGCACCATTAAAAGTAAAACCTTTGCAGTACAAGTTGTATCTACTTACAGATACAGGTTTAATAATGAGATTTAAACTTAAAGCAACAGTTCAAAATTTTGGGAAGTACATTTATATGCTTCCATGCCGAGAGTTAGACAAGGGTAAACACCACACAGCAGCAGAAGCTAAAGCCAGCAGACAGTTAGCTTAGCATAAAGCCTGGAAACGGGGAAACAGGTCTGGCTCTGCCAAATGATAACAAATCCTGGATGAGAAAAAGATCCAGCACGTAACCACAACTTACTATCTTTATACATTAGCTTTTGCACAGATAAAACAACTGAAATATAATGTGTTTATCGGTGTGTTTTGGAGGTGCTCAGTGGTGGATTTTGTGACCTTTGGACAAACCTTTATACGCCAAGCTAAATTATCCAACAAACAAAAATGAGAGTGGTGTTGATCTCATCTGGTACTCAGGAAGCATGCTTCCCAAAATAGTGAACAATTTCTTTAAGCATTACATGTGTGAATTACACTGGCAAAGCTGAAGCATACCATATCTGTGATGTAACAGAGAAAACATAAATATTTAAACATTTAATATAATATCTGATATTGTGGCTATGTTTCAGCCTTCATAAATGTGTTTTTGATTATGATGTTCATACCTTGAGGTCACGATGCACTATGCCGTTCTGGTGCAGGTAGTGGACAGCCTGCAGCACCTGCTGGATGACCCTGCTGGCATCCTTCTCTGAGTACACCCCCCGGTCCAGTATGCGGTCAAAGAGCTCACCACCAGAAACACTGGTAAGAAGAAATTGCTACCATTGAAATTTAATCTTAAAGGTGCAGTATGTGAGATTTAGTGTCATCTAGTGGTGACGTTGTAGATTACAACAACAACAACATGGGGACCCGCTCCGAAGTAAATATCAAAGGCTCATTCTAAGCAAAAGAAAATACGATTCTTATTTTCTAATGATTACACATTAATGAAAACATAATGATGCATACTATAAACCATTTCTGCCAATAAATCCTTCTATATCTTAGAAACTGTGCCTTTAAATCCCATTTGATTAGCTAACCTGACCATCTTAATAATAACTGGAAAACTCACAGCTGCATGACGAGGTAGTAGTGGGTCCGACTTTCATAGAAGTCCTCCATCCCCACAACATTCTCGTGTTTGATTCTGTTCAGGGAAATAACAAGATACCTTCATTATGTTGTCAGAATACCAGAAGCAGCAGACCAATAGGACTCCTTCCACGCTGGCTACTGACAGAATATGATGCTTCACATGAGAATCACCTTCTCAACACAGCAATCTCATTTTCCAGACTGAGGTCCCTCTTCTGTTTCTTCTTCACACACTTCATGGCAAACGTTTTCCCCGTCTTCTTCTCCTTCACCATGTAAACCTCTGAGAAGGCCCCTCTGTCAATTAACACACAAACACACATTGATAATGAGCTGCAGACGATGCTGTCAATCACTGATTGCTTTGAAACACCACAGGGAAAGGAAACAGGTCTCACACAGTAAGAGGAAATACTCATCGCCTCATATTAGAACTGTTAATCAAACATGACTAACAGAATCTGGGCTTCTTGAGGGACTTTTGCTGCTTCCGTTTCTCATTTTTGCCTGTTTATCGGTAGAGATCATTTATTTACCAACTAGTTTTTATGTGGTGGTCTCCCTTAGTTTTCAGCTACTGCCTACTGTACTTATGTGGCATAACAAGTTGGCTGCTAAGATGTTGGAGCATCAAAATTAAAGTTCTGAAAGTCTCTGAAAGCAGTAGAGATAAAAAGCTGGTAAATTTGCTTGGCTAAGACTAGCTGTGGAATATGGTCACTGTTTGGTTCATGCAAATTTTACATGTTGTTTTTCAGCATCAAAATGTTAATAAGGTAAAAGGGGGTATGAAAGAGTCTGATTTTTATCTTTGACCAAATGCTGTTCAAAAGTCTGGGGTCTCCTCTACTTTTCTTATTAGCATAATAAGAAAAATAATAACGGCCAAACACACTTTCATTCAACAACAGAGATGGGACAGACAGCACTGCTGCAGATGCTCCCACAAATGTGTTGTAGGTTGCTTGGCTCTGACTCTGTAAAGTCTGGACACTGTGCCGCCGTCCATCATTTGAAGCCGACTGTCTTCCACATGGTTTGAAGGTGGTTTGGGGTCATTATCCTACTACAGGATGAAACCCTGAAAATGTCTGACTTTCTACGTTAAAACACTTTCTCAAATAAACAAAAACAATTACAAAACAAATAACCTGTAGGACCATATGTCTAGACTTCATTTACTTCCACTGCTGCAGAAAAGAGGTCCGTTAACCTTTTACTTAATCCCTGAAAAAGGTACGTTTTTTTGTTTTACTTTTTAGCTTTGTAACATTTAAGGTTATTGATCAAACTTGGACTACATGTCAAAATAAAAAGTGGAAAACCACAAACCGTTGACCAGCAGTGTAGTTACTGCATTTTGCACTGGCAGGCAGGATGTGCTAGCCTAGCTGCTTCCCTGTCTCCAAGCTTTATGCTACGCTACGCTATCCAGCTGGTGTATAGCTTCATATTTAGTTTACAGCCATGAGAGGGGTTTCAGTCATCTTATCTAAATCTCAACATGAAAGCAGGACATAAACGTTCTTTTATTCAAAGCCCATGGAGTCCTCACTTACAATTCAATCCCAGCTTCATTACGACTTCTACGACGTTTTTTATAGTAGTGTGTAATTATTAATGTTATTTCTCACTGAATTGCATCACACAGAAATGGAAACTTCTCAGAACGTATCAGAATTAAAATAGACACAGCAAAAAATTAGCAATATCAAGGGGTTCAATTAAGATCCACCAAAGATCTCTGTGGCCTAACACTCTACAGTCAGAGGCTTATTATTCCCTGTGCCGCTCTGGGTCCAATCTATCTTCAGCGCTGCCTGGGAATAGTTGTTCTACCAGATGGATTAGGCCCTTTATCCCTGACGCAGTGGAAACAGTGACAGGCTCTAGAGACAAAGGTCAGGAACTGAGCATGTGCAACAGGGGCCTTGGGAACATCAAGCTCCTGCCTTCAGCACGGCTCAGGTGGATAGCACACCTTCTTTCTGAAGACATTGACCTTGGAGCAGGAAGGGATGAAGACCACCACAAACAGCCACTGGGGAACACAGTTTGATCTGTAGCTGCTTAATCCCATTTTGCATGTTTGCTACTGTACATGCTTAGTTTCTGGATTAACACACACACACACACACACACACACACACACACACACACACACAGTCTAATTGCAGCTCAGGGAGGCAGACAGGAACAAACTGCTCCCACAGCGTCATCACAGCACTTCACAGCCCACTGCTCAACTGATTTCCCGCTGGTTAACCAGGCTCATTTCCTTTCAGGGATCTCCTTGAGGCTCTTTGTCCAAGAGCCGAGCTTTCAAAGCAGTGGCCAAGAGTCCCGGTGCTACGTTTGATCCTACGCTCTTTTGACCAGCATGTTAAAGGCATGACAGAGCCGGTCCTTTCCACCTGTGTAAAATAACTACAATTCAGTCTTTTCTATCCACAGTAGATGGAGACTAATTCACACCTTTGTGTCATCCAGACTCGATTATTGTACCGTTTTGTTCTGAGGCCTGCCACGTACTAAAAGTCTTCAGATGGTTCAGAATGCTGCGGCTAGAATGTTAACAAATTCCAGAAAATTCAGCCACATTACACAAAGTTTATTAACCCTCCATTAGCTCATGCTCCTCCACACCCGTCTTATCTGATACTGTCTTCCAGGCTGTCCACTCACAGAATGCAGACTCCTGTCTGTTATAACGAAGCCTGCCGACATCAGGCCAGACCTAAAACTCATCTGAACACTGTTACCTTTCAACTAGTGGCTTTGTCCTGATTCTTCATGCCTTATATTTGCTACTATAGTCCCCGTTGCCAGGCAGAGGGGATCACTGCAAACCTTTTGAAAATCACTGCTTCTCTCTAACTCTGTTTGTTTGTTCCCTTGACCATGAAGCTGTGTGCCTCTCTCTCTCTGTCACACAGCTTCTCTGTGCTGGATCATCGACCGTCCTGGGACCTCACTCTCCTCTGGCTGTTGGTCCCTTGTTCAGACATCTGGATCTGGATCCTCGTCTTTCAGGTGTCCCATCTTCTTATTTATTCCTTGTTCCCTAATTTTGTTTAGGTCCTGTTCTTTTCCCCATTCCCTTTGTCCTTTCTCTCTCTCTGTGTTTAGATGTGTGAATGATGTATTTGGATTTTGCCTCTTGTGTGGTTGTGTATTCTGTCCTCCTGTGTGGTTCAGGTCTATTGGAGGCACCTGGAAGTTGGCTCATCCTCCAGGATCATGTATCTTTACACAGCATTTTATATATGTTTAGAATGCACAAACTTTGCCATTCTGATCGTCCATACGTTAAATCTGTTATGCTGATTTATTCTATACACACTCCTCCGTTGTTCTTCTTGAGGTTTCTACGTTTACGTTCCAGACCTTACTATTATTATTATTATTATTATTATTCTATAGGAAAAACCCAACAGCCCCCACTGAGAGGCACTTGGTGACAACGGGGAGGAAAAACTCCCTTTAACGGAAGAAACCTCCGACAGACCCCAGCGCTTGGTGGGTGGCCTTCTGCCTCAGTGAATGCCAGACAGCACCCTTTATACAAAAAGACAAAGGGCAACCAGAAATCACCGACGTGCTAATTGAAGCGCACATTTACAAACTTAAAACTCAGGCTACTGACTGACATGAACTGGAGTTTGTCTTACCCCTGAAGAGACTGTGTCCTGATTGCTAGGAGGCCATTAGGATGTTGTTTATGTGTGAAGAGGTCCACTGGGAAAGGCTGGGGGTTTTTATTGTGATGGAAAACAGGAAGACAAACACACAGTAACAGTAACCTGCCTTTGTTTCTCTCCTTTGGCTCCTTAATGTTGTCACAACCTGTACAGCAGCATTCTGATACTGACTGTCAGTGTTTTACATGATATAAACAGATATAAACATATCGTCCTACAAGGCTTCACTCACTGTTATTTCAAATTGTTTGGTGAAATTAAGATAATTGCTGCTGACTACCTGGAGCACACACACTAGATCATGTGCTATGCTCAGGAGGGCCTGGCCTCCTTCACGGTCCAATTACAGCTGATGTGTTGAGCTGAAACTTCTCGTAGCTTCTCCAGCCCTCAGCACAGAGTCGGCCTGGCTTCTAGAAACTCGCTGGTAACACTAACAACACTCACCTGCTCACACCTTTATGCACTTCTTGCTTTCCAGCCACCTGCTTAATACTCAGCTCTGCTATAAGAACAGCTGATTATTAAGGCTGACCTCACATAAATGAGGTCAGCGCAGGAGCCTGTAAAGCTCAGTGTGTGAACAGCGTACGTGACATTCTACAGTCACACCAGGTCCACGGCATTACAAGCCAAACACTTCCACTAAACGCCCACAGATGAAAAATATTCCCAAAGCTATTGAGAAAAACAGGGGAATAAGCCTACGGATTTCTTAGGACTCAACCAGGACTTGTTACATTGAGTTAAATACACTTACGATCCCAACTCCTCCATGAAGTCAAAAATCTCCTGGATGTTCTCAGTGTTCTTCTTCCACACGTAGCTGGCCTCTTGACGACCCATTTCTGCAGGCGTCTCAGCAACGATTTCTTTCATAATTAAGGAGGGAAAAAAAGAGACATAAGAAGAGAGTCCACTTAACAACGAGGTTCCCCAGTTTTCCTAGCAGTAATAACCACAGCTCAGTGTCCAGACGCCTCCGTCATTATAAACACAAAATGCTTAAGCTTATTGCAGAGTCATAAGAAAGTAGTTATGGTGTGTCTGCTGTGCTGCTCAGTAATCTGTGTTGTATGTAGCACACAGGAAGGCTCACAGCGGCACCACATGGCCCACAACAATCAGCAGGTATCCTACTGTATGGTGCAGACCAATAATTAGAAAATCATCAAAACTGTCATCAAAGTTTAAATTTATTGAAGCTGCTTCCTGCACAGCTCTGCTGATGCTACTCTGTTCTTTCCTTAAGCAGAATAGTTGTCTTTACTCAAATGATGATAATCTAAAATCCCATCACAGGAAAGGTCCTGAGCAGGATTAGGAACACTTGAAATGAGCAGGTTACCTAATTTAGTTTCCTTCCTTACTCTTATATAAGGGATTTGTAACTCTTGGAGCCTTGACTTTGTCACAGGTAAAAATACTGTTGAAGAGCCTTAACACCTTACTTTAAACGCAGAACTTTCACAAAAGGGGCCTGTTGAAAGTATAAACCCCTAACTACTCACAAATAAAAATCTTCAGGGTCTGGTTGAGGGTCTGACATCTCCCGCATGCAGCAAAGGCTGCCGCGCCTTTCACTCCCGCGTCCACGTAGAAACGCTCTTTTACCGCCTCACTGTGTTTTTATGAAGCAGGTCAGATCAGCACTTTATAAACAGAATCGGACAAACTGGGGGATGTGTTCAAAACCACAAACAGCACGGCAAAACTAACTTGCACTGTCAGGACCAGCAGCGGCATAAAAGATCGCAGCATCATCCTCTACGCGCCCCACTCTGCCACACGTTTGTACCGTGACACAGAAACACATGTCAATGCGAGGGTGATAACAATAACAAACGACGTGACCGACAGCAAACGGGCTGCCCTGATAGTAATCGTCGATGCATGCGACCACCGCGCATCCCCTTCTCTCTGTCCTCATTGTCACCAGAGGAGCCAAGTTGGCTGCGCCATCCGCGGAAAGACTGCTCTGCGGCAAAAGGCGACTGATCTGATATAGGGATCAAGGCTGAGCCACACAGCTCTCACGGCAATGCTCATCAGATAAAAGCAGCTTCGGACTCATAAAAGGGTTTACGACCCCGAATGTTAACTTGGAACATTAAACACCAATTTACGCGCAGAATACAAATCTGGCAACACAGTAACGCTGCAGCGCTACACATGAAAAACACTGGTTTCACTCATCCACATCTAAGCAACAGGCCTGCGAGAGGTTCATTGAGCAGCACACGGGCTGCAGCTTACCTAGACACTCTGCGCTGCAGCAGGTCCGCTCGTCCCGGTCTGGACAGATCACTTTGTCTGGGACCTGACAAATACCTGTTGTCAAGTCGGAGATTGCATCCATGGAGGGAGTCGAGGGGAGGGGCTGACAGTCCGTCAGGTGCTCATTGAGACTTTAGAGGCAGAGATTTCAGCTCCGCGTGCGGCTGCAGCAGCCTGTTAGTCACCTGTCCACACAGCTGCAGCTTCAGCCTGTAGTAAACGGTGCGTCGTGGGTAGCGCAGAGCAGGGTTTCCAAAACAGCACGATTCATTCAAAAACTGTAAACGCGCACGCGCAGGCACGTGCACACCAGCTTTTCAGCACTAAGTGAACTACTATTTTGAAATGCATAGCTTAATTAAAGTTTATTAATGATCTAACAAGGATTCGAACATGGCTCAACCATTTATTGCATCATAAATTAAATCTCCTTATGAAGGAGGCATCATTAGGAAGTGGAAGCAGTACTCCCTTTACTCAAGTAAAAGTAGCAATACAACTGTGTACAAATACTGTTACAAGTCCTGCATTCGAAATGTTACTTAAGTAAAAGTACAAAAGTATTAGCATCAAAACATACTTGAAGTGCTAAAAGTACTCACTATGCAAAAAGATATATATCATATTGTATTATGATTACTGATGGGGGTGGGGGGGGGATGAAAAGTGACTAGTAACTGATGTTATAAAATACATGTGGAGGAGTAAAAAGTACAATATTTGCCTTAAAGATGTGGTGAAGCCAAAGTATGAAGTAACAGAAAATGAAAACACTCAAGTACAGATACATCAAAATTGTACTTATGTACTTGATCCAAGTATTTGAGTGAATGTACTTAGTACTTTCCACCACTGGCCACAGTCTTGATAAATGTGTTTGGACAGTTGATTTCACATCACTGGGATGGTTTTAGCACCTGCTATGTGGCAGCATTAGGCTGTACATGCTTCAGTACACTGCGTCTTCAGAGGCAACCTTTAAGACTCTTATGTATTAATCTGCGTCAGATGCTTATTCCACCTGTCTGTCACATAAGGAGCCATGCAAGGTCACGTTGTTAACACAGCTGATCTTACTGCACACAAAATCCACATCTCTCCAGTTAAAAGAGACGGCCCAGCTACATGTCTGCCATTTTAGGCTGCAGAGAGGCGACCCAGTGTGTCTCTGTCAAGGCTCTGGCTGCAGCCCACCTGAGTTTTAGGCATGTGATGTAAATGGAAACAGAGAATATGAATAGTTGCCAGTAACAGGGTTGTTAAATTTGTCTTTTGCTGGAGTTGAAGAATATTCCAACCTGTTTTCAGTGCGGCCAACTTGTTTTGATAAATCAAGTTAAATTTTTTGAAATGACAGTGTAGTAGCCATTATTGGCTTCACATTTTTATGCATTACATATGACTCCATATTCAGTTAAGCAGGTTGATATTTTGCACTCTACTTTGGTAAAGTTGAACCTTTCAAAGCAAAGGGTCTGGGTACTTTTCCCACCTCAGTACATTATAGGCCTACTGCAGTACACGTTGTCTCTAGGGACTGATAAAGCACCGACACCAGGTCCGACTCATGGAAACTTACATCATCATCATCAAGCTCACGAAAGAAACAACAGGATCAGTTGGAACTTTCTAACCACTGCCCTGGGATTATCCAAGACTCCAGCTTCAGCTGTGTCTTTAAAGTGATGTAAAACAAAGCTGTCGCCCCTGGAGGGAAACAACCGCCATCACCTCAGCCTCTTAACCTCTACTGCTACTAAATTACTGGTCAATGGGATCACGCTAAAGGGATCAGGTAAACTTTGGATGCCTTATACAACAGGTCAGTTACTGAAATGGGTTCAGGGCTGAAGTGAAGCAGCTCTCACATAAAGACAATTATACTCACCACATCTTCAGACCTTCAATAAAGGATTCAGCTTTAAATCCACTAAAAAAAAAAAGACCCATGTGTGATATGTCAACACAACAGATATTATATAAGGAAATCACTGCTCAGATTTTTTTATATACAATACACATTATACGCATGTGGCCAGTCTGCTGTAATTATATGTGACTACTCACCTTTACGCTTCATTTGAGAACATCCGTGGTTTCCTTTGTAGGTAAGGTCTGATAAATAACTACAGTTAGCAAACATGAATTTCTAAAACAAAGGCTTTTTCGGATGTTAATAACCACTGTTCTATTTGGATGCTTTGCTGGTGTCCACATATTTAGCTTTTTCTTGTTTGGCATTTGAAGGGCTTCTATTTATGTCCAGAACAGTTGACTAGCAATCCAGTGAGAGAGGTGTGCGCCCTAGAGGTTGGAAGTGAGAATAGCAGGGTCGCAGTGGAGCCATACTGATCTGCTCCCAAGTCAGTGTGGTTGTGTTTCCACAGCACTGTAAAAATCACTGTTTATCTGCTGCATTTTGTTCACATGGGGACGGTGTGCCACAGCACTGGACACATAACTCATGGTGTTGGTGTGGTGTTGGTGTGGTGTTACTAGTGTGTAGCATGGAGTGCTTGGTGCTAGGCTTTATTTTAACCCTCCATCAGGAGGCCACATAACAGACTCCATTTTCTGCAATGAAATCACAGATAAAAGGCGAATGCTGAATGGAAGGATGTTACCTCGGCGCAACATTTAAACCACTGGAACAGGTCTGTTGAAGGCGGAGCTCGGCCACACTCAGAAGCAGGGCCGGCTGAGCCTGAGTCAACCCCTGCTACTAGATACAGATGGAAACGGAGGCCAAACCGTCCAACCCGTCCCCACCCGGCTTGATTAAAGCTGGATGAACCACAATGATGGGAAATCAACAATCACATACAGAGGGCCAAGGTTATGGGAACACATGTCCACTCCAGTAACATCCAAAACACCTGGGGACACCGGGTTTCACTTCTGAGGACTTCAGAGTGTTATAAAAACATAAAAAGTAAGGCATCAAAGTGCATGGTCTTTATTTGATATACGGTGAAGTGCTCTCCAGACGGCACAAAAGAGCAGCAGAACAATGACTCTATAAGGCCCTGCTTCACTAACAGCAAACTGGTCTTTCTCTTGATTTTGGCTGTTCTGCTGCCACATGGAACACCTGAAAATGATAACTGATGGCATGTATAAACAGACAAACCAGCCCCGTTTAGCTTCTTTATCACTGACCCCAAGTCCTGTGTTCATATAATACAGCAGCTGACTGTTGAAGGTCGTCAGTGAAAACCTTAACTCTGCTGCTAAGAGGACTGAACAACCAACCCCTGAGTTTAATTATACAACATGATCCCAGGAAAGAACGGGGTGAGATGCAGGAAGTGCTACTGACATTCAGAAATAACAAGTGGATCAGAAAAACGAATGAAACAAATGAATGGGAATTCTACTGTAATAATTCTGTTAGCTACTATCAACATGTTTCTTGAAATACCAAACATATATGTACTGTATGTTATGCTTGTGCACAAAAGCACTTATTCGTGATTAGAAGTAAATCAACATGAACACTCAACTGTTCTCCAAAACACCACTGTCCTCTTTCCAAATTCGCTCTCCGTCTTCAGGCTCCACATCCGCTGTAGGTGTCCCGCCACTGTCGTTGTAGGTTGGCTACACTTGAGTTGCTTGTTCTGACAAGTCGCTGGCTGGGTGACGATTCTCTGCTGTGTGGTAGTGGTTCAACAGTGCAACTGACTTTAACAACACTTTTCCATATGTGCTCTGTTGCTGAGATCACAGCAGGCATGGCATCGACTTGTAGCTTCAGATCTTTCAGGCTTACGTCTTCCTCTTGGGGAGCGAACTGCAACTTGTATTCATTCAGCCTCTGGCCCATACAGCCGGACTCTTATACTGAGGGGCCACTTGTGGTGGGTTACCCTCTGCAACGATGTTGAATCATCTTTGGCTTTGCAAAAGTTTAATGCCGCAAGTCTCACACACAGTAGCTGCGATAGCATCTACTGTGCAGTACATACAGGTTCATGCTGAGTATGTGTGTGCAGGACAGCCTTACAACCAGTGAACCTGAGCTCCTGCCTTCGAGTGCCGTTTGGCCTCCATGATGCAGAAGGCCTCTTGCTCCTCGCTCATCTCCTTCAGCCTCTTCTCTTCCAGGAATGACACCAGGGAGTCCCTCATCTGCACCACCTCGATCATCTGTTCAAGGATCCGCTCTTCTTCTGCCTGTTGCTCTGGCGTCTTGTCTGCCAGACAAACACACATGCACACTGTAAAGTGGCTCTAATCAACATGTTACATGGATCTGTGAATACGAGCCTGTGCTTGAAGAGATGACTAATTTTAAAAAACACACTATAAATGGACTAGAAGACACAGGCCATGCAATATTAAGGCTATAAACAATCCATAATGTAAGGAGCACAGTTACAATTGTACCCCTACATTCAAAACAAATAACAGATGATGAGACAAATACATACCTAGTCCTTGTGAATTCCATAAATGAATACTGATTTATATTAAAGGACATATGTTTGGTTGCTCTCTTTAAACAGAAGTAAAACCAACAGTCCTGTTCAAGAAACTGAACTACAGAAGTTTCTGTGTCCATGTACACACCATTTAGCTCCATGTATTTCCTGAGCTCCAACTCCAACATTGTCTGCTGGTCTTCGAGTTCCAGCTGACGAGACCTGAGAAAAAAACCAAACACCCGTGATGGACCTTCAGGCTGCCATGACACAACTACTCTGCACAGAGGCTGTGTTGTTCCACCACTGTGTGTGTAGTCAGTCAGTTCCCGTCCACACATATAACACACTGTCAAGAGAACGCTAAGCTAACAGCCGGCGACGTAACCCTAACTGTAGTCATGTTGGCCAATCGGAAGCCTGAAAAAAGGTTTTACTGGTTCAGCTGGTGTTTGTGCAATGGATCAGTGTTTCTATGTTGTGGGTTTGTCGCCGAGTGTAGCAGTGACCTCTATAGCACATTCCAACGACTCTGCTCCTAAACATAGTGGGCGATGTGTAAGTATGTTAAGCTAGCAATGTTACTACCATCACTAATTGGGCTACGTCCACCATTGCATAATATCGCCTCATAACATGGATCTATTTTATTATGGAAATTGATAACAGGGCGCACACGCTGATGTGACAAGCCAGAACCTCTGCTTTCCCTTTCTAAACATCAACAGTGAAAACAGAGTTTCTGAACAGCTTCATCCCGGAGGGAGTTTTTTTTTTTAAAGCTCTGTTTTCAGTAACCTAAAATGCAGTTTGTGTGTGGATAAAAGGCCAAAATGCACAAAAAGCTGTTTTAAAAAGTACATATGCACGTGTAGACAAGGCCTTACTGTGCGTATCACAGTTTTAATTTACAAGCGAGCCAGGAAAGGTGCACACTTACGCCACCATGAGGTCAGACTCCTCAGAAACCAACGCATTCTTCTCATGGACGAGTTGGATCCACTGCTCGATCGCATCAGGAGAACCACTGCTGCCTGGAAGTGGAAAAACACAGTGGTCGAGTATCTGTGTGTAATGATATGTTGGCGTGTAAAATGTAACAGGAAGAGACGTTTGTGTGGAAATTCTGGATACAGTGTTGTGGAACAAGATGTATGTGCTACATATGACACCATATCCATGTGTGCGTGTCTGAAGAGAAACTATAATCCCTCGGACTAACATGCATTTTTCAAAGATTGCTGGAGGCTATTCCCTGTGAGTACGGCGGATATTCCCTGTGAGTACGGCGGATATTCCCTGTGAGTACGGCGGATATTCCCTGTGAGTACGACGGACTTACAGAATTCAAAGATTACCATTTCAACCCCTTTAATATAAACGACTGTTCTCTTGTTGGCTCTTGTTGCCCTGTTACTCAGTTGAGGACAGCTGACTCTAGGAATAGTCTTGGTGGTTCCAAACATCTTCCATCTCTGTCCTCCTTGAACCCCTCACATTTAGAAATGGTTTTCAACCATAACCCTGATCCATGCCTCACCACAGTGGAGGTCTACAGAGAGTTCCTTGGACTTTATCAGGGCTCCCACTCTTTTCAAGAAATAATGTTCCAGAACGTTTCCAACGACATGTCCTGTCCTGCCAAATAGGGATCACGTCCTAGATCACTTTAAAACATTCAGTATGTTTGAATTTGTGATACTTTATCTGTTAAACCAGTGCTTGGATGCTTTATGACAAATTGATTATTAACGGAAGCCACATTCTCTCAAACCCACACCTGCAGATGTTCAGTCCCTAATGTATAATTGTTAGTGTCCTACAAAAAATGTGTAGCTTTTATTTTCTCTTCTCTCTCTCCACACTTTATAGAGCACAAGTAAAAAAAATAATCTGACTTGACTCTGGCACAATTAGCAGATTTCTAAACTATGTTCAGTCAGTTCAGCCACAGGAGGCTCTAATCAAGACATGTCAAGAATAATTAAAGCAAACACCTGACCACAGTTTGGAATGACAGCGTCTGAATATGTTTGTACATGAAAGATTTCAGCTTCCAATTTTTAATACATTTGCTAAAATATCTAAACTAATGTTTCCACTTTGTCGTGGGTTTGGGTTGTTGAGTGTAGAAAATGATAATAGCCTCAATTTAAACTTAAATCCATAACTCCATAAAGTGTGCAGAATCTAGGGGTCTGAACACTTTTAGATGTCACTGTACAAACTGTGCATACTGTATATTTTTAGAACAGTATTTTTAGCACTGATCTTATGGAAACACCTGGTGTTTATTTCCAAAATAAACTGCAAAGCAGTGACTAAAGTCAACAACTGCCCTCATGTTCTGGAACCTTTGACTGCATGGGAACAACTCTGTGTGAAAATCAGTTTCAACTGTATTTAATAGGAAAAAAAAATCTTTAAACAAAGAAAAACAAAACGCACAAAACAAAACATGAGATTTTATTATATCGGAAATTTAAAAAACCATGGCTCTGCTGTCTGTTGGCTTCTTACCTGCCTCTCCTCGCAGAGTTCGCTCCAGCACTACACCTTTGTCCTCCAGTTCCTTGAAGGTCACCTCGATCTCCTCCAGTCTCCTCTGGATGGACTGTGACCCACACAAGAAGGTATAGTAAACAGAATGACTGATCAAATCAAGTCAGACCCACATTTGTTCTACGACAGCAGCTCAAAGTATTCACACACACACCACCTGTCTATATTGTAGTTTCCGTTGTTAGTGTTTGCCATTCCCACACAGTATTACAGGTTTATTAGTATGACAGATGACAGATACTGTGATCCATCATTACCATTTGCCACTTTACATTACAGACATCATCCTTGCTGTTTATTGTTCACTCTCCTGTGACCTGTTGCCTCTGTGTGGAAAACCATTCCTGCAATGTGCAACATGAAATCAGACCACAGTTGCTCAGAGCATGATGAAAGAAAAGGGCTAATGATCAACCAGCTTCTTTATGTAAACAACGTGACTTAGGGTTTTTATTACATGCACTGTCAACTGACACATCAGTTGCTCTTATCTTGTATTTCTGACAAAGTACCATAGCTGCTTGAGGAGCGCACACCGCCCCCAGAGCGCTGAGGCCTGCAACATAAAACCACACTTGCTGTTGCCATGGTAACCACAGGTGTCACCAAATCAACCAGGACTCACATCGTAAGGATAAGAACAGCAAATATTACTGCAAGACATAACCTCAGTGTGTTGACAGATTTACAGTAAAAGCAATAAACTGTATGTTCAAATACAGTAGAACTTCACAGGTTCATGGAATAAAGCTGGAAAATCCACTGACCAGCCAATCATGGTTGAGCTTCATGACAGAGACACTGACCTGTGCTTTGCGCAGTCGCTGTAATTCACTCATCTTGGCTCGCCGCTCCAGTGTCCTCATCTTCATCAGCTCCAGCTTCTCAGCCTCAACAGGGTCTGGTGGCACATTCTGAAACTGCAGGTAATAAGTCATTACTGCGAGTGTACCGCTGGTCAAAATGTAGCAGCTCACTATCATGCAGAATGAAAACATCGGCTCCATTGTTCTCCTTACTTTCTCATCATATAAGTCAATGTCTTGTTCAAACATATCCTCCTCCTCGTCGTCGTCATCTCCATCGACACCCTCTTCTGAGGCACTGTTAACATGTCTGAATGTTGTTTCTGTGGTAAAAATGCAACACAAGTGTCATAAAACACCCAGACTGACTCAAAAACACCCGGGAACATTGTTTCCACTGCAACCCTTTTTCTCCATTACAAACCAAAGGAGAGTGTGGAACGTACCCAAACTCTCTGGTTGGTTGTTGAGGACACTGAGCCTGGTGTCTCTGCTGATCCTTGGGGAAGACAGATTCCAGGGGGAAAACTTGGATCGTATTCTGGTCTGCCCGCTTGGCATCTCTTTTTTCTTGAAGCAGCGCCGGATCCTTCTCTCCCGGATGTGACTAGCGGTGCTCCCACTCCAGTAGCCCTCCTCTTCTTGCCCATCTAAGCCCTCTGTTTTAGAAGGGCCTGGACCCCCTGCTGTTGCCGAGGATGAGGAGCAGGATGAGGATCCACCGGGGGTCTCTGAGTCCGAGTCTGCACTGAAGCTCTGAAGATTCACCAGTTGGCTTTTCTCCTCGTCGGTCAGCTGAAGCTTCCGCAGTGACTGCTTAGGACGAGAGTCTGGTGCTGCCTTGCAGATCTCTTTTGTAGGTTTTTGCTCAGTTGAAGGGTTTAAAAGCTGGATTGTGCGAGGTTTTGCTATTGGAGGAGAGGGCTGAGGGCTGGGCTTAGTCTGTTGAAAGTGACGGGGCTTTGGGACTGGGCAGGGCACTGCGGGAGAAGGTTCCTCTGTCTCGCCTTCAGTGGGTGCTGCTACCTCAGTTTTAGGTGGAGGGCCTGTGGGAGTTTCTGATGTATGTGGGCCTTGGGACTCTTCTTTGGATTCAAGAACATGCTGGTCCTGTCCATCAGGTTTCTGTGACATTGTGGGTGAAGAGGGAGCATTGTCCAAAGTGTGTTCATACTCTTCATCTGATGGAGATGGTGTATAACCATCACTGGAGGTCTCTTCATTTGCCCCTTGGTGAATTCCTCCATTTTCCTAAGTAGAGAAAGAGCACAGACAAATACTGCAAATGCAAAAAATAGCACAGATTAGTGGTGACTGATCAGCTCATCAAGGCTGGATTCCCCCAAAGCACAGTACCTGGTTGTTCTGACTGCTTGAGGCTGGTGTGTCTGCTGCATGTGATGTGTTGCTGGTTAACCAGCGGATTAACGACCCATGATGTTATTGTAGGAGCTACGCTACCTGTTAGAATTAATTTCTCTACTCTGGGATTGTTTGTGGTCGTGTTGGGGAAGACGCAGGGACCACCAGTTGGATTTACCGACCTTGGAGCTACTTGAAAAGGAGTGATGTTTCCACTACTCGGTGGGACTTAACGGTGAGTTTATAAAAATCACACGTTGCGTGTCTGTTAATGCCTTGTTTCTGTAACGCTAGAGAGAATTGTTATAAGGCTGGAGAAGTTACTATGTCTGCATTATGGCAGTGAAAACATGGGGTTTCTCAGTTACCTGCTTTGTTTAGTGTTACACATCTCTTACCGCTGTTTACCTTCCTATGGAGGAACTTTCACATTAATTAATGCTGTTGCAGTTTGTTGTGCTGTCTCTCTGGTTTTATGGTAAATGGACTGTATTTATATAGCGCATTTTTGCACTGGCCAAAGCGCTTTACAGGACATCATACACCATTCACACACATTCACACGTCACATATCATTCTGAAACAATAACAGACTATTTGGAGTTATGAGGGGTGCAAAGCTAATCCAGGTACCCAAGATTAAACATTAAATGGCTGGAAATGAGTAAAATGAGCAGCCATGGGCTCTTTAAATCACACAGATCCTCTGTGTGATTTATGTGCTGCTAAGTTTTGACTGGCCAGCTGTCAACTGATCACCACCTGGTGGTGAGCTGGATCCGATGGCGGGGGAGGAAGCTGGACAGACTCGGCAGCACCCAAAG